TTACTGCTTCAAAATTGGATTTTGAGGTAAAAAGTGGCAAACTGAAAAATGTAGACCATGGTTGAAAACTTAGAATCAGACCAAATGAAGTAGACATCTGAATGTCTTCATGCTTACATTCAGATGCGGCTCCTGAAGGGCCAAAGGAGGACCCTCTGGCCCGTACAGGCTATCCTTTTGGTGGAATGGTGAAAGACATCAAGCGCCGTTACCGACACTACCTCAGCGACTATGTGGACGCTCTGAACCCTCAGGTGCTCGCTGCCATCATTTTCATCTACTTTGCTGCCCTGTCACCTGCCATCACCTTCGGAGGGCTTCTAGGTAAATAGAAAAAGAAATCTCATGTTGTGTTTGATGACCATAGTAGTTGCTGAAAATTGTCTCTGGCTCTGATTGAAGCTTTTGTTGGTCTCTTCGATTCTAGCGGACAAAACAGACAAAATGATGGGAGTCTCAGAGCTTATGATCTCTACCAGCGTTCAGGGTATAATCTTCTGCATCATTGCTGCCCAACCTGTCCTTGTCATTGGATTTTCTGGACCTCTCCTCCTGTTTGAAGAAGCTTTTTTTGCCGTATGTATTAACAGTCAGACGATAAGATTTCTGAAAACGTTTTCAAAGCGCTACTGTCCCCATTGAAGTCTTCTTTTCTTTGTCTGCACTAGTTCTGCAAAGCCCAAGGCATCGAATACATTGTGGGCCGAATCTGGGTGGGTATGTGGCTGGTAGTGATTGTGGTTGTAGTTGTGGCTGTGGAAGGCAGCTTCTTGGTCCGATTCATTTCACGCTTCACCCAAGAAATCTTCTCAATCCTCATTTCACTCATCTTCATCTACGAGACCTTTGCCAAGCTCATCAAGGTTACCACAGTTCATTCCTCCGCTCTTTCTCACCAACAATCATTTTCCTTTTTCATCAGCTCTAACTGACTTCTAATTCCTTTTCTTGTTCAGATCTTCAAAACTCATCCTTTGATTCTGAACTATGAACATCTTAATGACACACTGGATAACCCCTTCCATCCAGTCATCAAGGAGCACACGGAGTTTCATCCAGATGGCAATGTGACCGTCAAAGAGCTGGAGGTTGAAAGGCCATACCCCAACACTGCCCTGCTGTCTATGTGCCTTATGTTTGGCTGTTTCTTCATTGCATACTTCCTTCGTCAGTTCAAAAATGGTACCTTCTTACCAGGCCCGGTGAGAAGACGTTCTGAACAAACTCTAAAAATCACCTCTGCAAAGTGATCTGGGTTTGATGGAGGGCTATGTTTTAATTTTCTCTCCAGATTCGTCGCTTGATTGGAGATTTTGGAGTCCCTATTGCCATCTTCTTTATGATCGCTGTGGATATTAGCATTGAAGATGCTTACACTCAGGTATGTTATGTGCAAATGTATAAAAAGTATTTGAAATAAAACACAGTAAGCATTACTGTTTGAGTTTACCTAACTGTATTTGTTTAAAACTTAGGCTTACATGTGAAACAATCTTCATTGCATTTATTTCTCTCTCTCTCTCTCTCTCTCTCTCTCTCTCTCTCTCTCTCTCTCTCTATATATATATAGATATATATATATATATATATCTATATATATAGATATATCTATATAGAGATATATATATATAGATATATATATCTCTCTCTATATATATATATCTATATATATATCTATATATATATAGATATATATATAGAGATATATATATATATCTATATATATATAGATATATATATATCTCTCTATATATATATATAGAGAGAGAGAGAGAGAGACAATTTACAACAAATGTGTTGAGGCACGTTTTAGAATTGGAGATATCATATGTCTGTTTTTTTTTCCCTAGACATGTTTTCTCAGATTAGATGTTTTTTAGTTCAAAAAATTTCACAAACTTTATATTTCTAAATCCACTTTTGTTTAGAATAAAGAAGCCTAATTTTTTTTCTTCAAAAATGGCTGAATATAAAACAAACTAATTAATTTTCAAGCTTAAAAAATAACCTTATCTTTTCCTTCTTTTTTGTATTTATCAACCAATATTTACATTATTTTGTAGAAACTGGTTGTGCCTAAAGGTATTGAAGTGACCAACCCTAAAGCCAGAGGCTGGTTCATCAACCCCATGGGAGAAAACAAACCTTTCCCTATTTGGATGATGGGTGCCTGCTGTGTTCCTGGTCTGCTTGTCTTCATTCTCATTTTCATGGAGTCCCAGATTACTACGTGAGTAAAGTTGGGTACACTATGCATTACCTTTACGAACTACTTGAACAATGTGAAAGAAGTATCTTTGTGTGCTCACAGTTTGATTGTGAGCAAACCTGAGAGGAAGATGGTGAAAGGCTCTGGTTTTCATTTTGACCTGCTCCTCCTGGTCACCATGGGCGGCATTTCCTCCATCTTTGGCGTCCCCTGGCTGAGTGCTGCCACTGTGCGCTCTGTCACCCATGCCAACGCTCTGACTGTCATGTCTAAGGGCCCCAAACCGGTGATCGAGAAGGTGATTGAGCAGAGGATCAGTGGTATGATCGTGGCCCTTATGGTTGGTAGGTGCTGCCATCTAGAGTGCTAATGCATTCACAACATGCTTGAACGGTAGAACTGTTTCCTCCTCTTATAACCAACTCTCTTTCTTACTGTTCAGGAGTTTCGATTTTCATGGAACCGATCCTGAGGATGATTCCAATGACCGCCTTGTTTGGTATCTTCCTGTACATGGGTATCACCTCTCTAAATGGTGTCCAGATGTGGGACAGGATTCTGCTTCTCATTACTCCCAAGAAATACCATCCATCTGATGCCTATGCTACCAGGGTATCACTCCTAGTCCTTAATACAGTTTATCTTACTCTGTGACACATTTTTCAGAAAAAGCTATTTCTAAAGTGTATTTTGTATCTCCTGCACATTGTTGTTCCCAACTATGAGTACTAATGCTGTTTTAATTCAAGTTAAAGCTTTCAGGACTGTTGGCTTTTATTTTTGTTGATTTATTAAAATCTACGCGGGAGATTTGCCAGCTTTAGTGACTTCATCTTGTCTGTTGGTCTTTGCAGGTGAAAACAATGCGCATGCATATGTTCACTGTGATCCAGATTGTGTGTTTGGGCGTCCTTTGGATTGTCAAACAGAGCCCCTTCTCATTGGCACTGCCTTTCTTCCTCATTCTCACCATCCCACTGCGGATCTTCATGACCGGCCGGGTCTTCACTCCACTGGAGATGAAATGCGTAGGTTCTGCGCTGCATCTCCAAACACTCCCAACAAATCTCATTCATAAGTTATCTTTCAGTTGTTTTATTGGGGTTATTGTTAATGGATGGGTTTGTCTTGCAGCTGGATGCAGATGACGCCAAAGTGAAATTCGATGACGAAGACATGGAAGATGGATTGGCGTAAAAACCACTCATTAATTGTAATTACAAACTGTTGTCATTTTTGTCTTTAATATATCACTTTTCATATCTAGCATTCATGTAATATTTCTGTTGATGAACCAGGCAAAGACTTACATAGAAAGCAGTATCTTAACTGGAGACATTTTTGTTGTAAAAATGAGGCACTTTTTCCTTTAAAAACATTTGTCCCTTTTCTTTCCAGTACATATTCAACATTTGGCTTTTCCCATTTGCCTTTGTTCTAACAGGATTTTATTGCTCATGCTAATTTATTCTTCTACATTTTTGAAATAATCACAAATAGGAATTTCTGTGGCTTTCACTAGTGCCTTTTCCTACAGCCTGGAGTATTTTTCTCAGTATGTTTAAGTTGTTTTTATTAAGTTTGCTCCATTTGATTACTTGTGTGTCACAGTATTTTCTGTTCTTGTTTGAAATGTGTATAAAAAAGATGTGAGTTGCCTATGAGATTTTAGAGTATAATTACTTTAAAAAAATAAATAAAAATTTACGAACAATAAAGTGAAGCAAATAAAGAGATGTATTTTTAGTCAATTGCTGGAGCATAGCATCAGAAAAGTATTCTTGTAAATGACCTAAAATACATTGTTCATTAAACGTGTGTGTGCTTAAACTGTACATTGCTTTGAATTGTTATTTTAATAAATAAAATCAGCGTTTAAAATGCTTGACTTCATAAGTGAAACTGGAAAACAGCATAAAACAAATCTATCGATTTATTTTCTGTTTTTATCCCATTAGTAGACAGTAAAGGACTGAAGGATAGATGCTGCGTTCACGGACATCATGCAAATATCAAATCTTCTATTTTGAAACTTTAAAAATAATGACCTCCAAATCCAAAAAGCACAAACGTTTCACTCACAATTAAAAAGCTCACACTGCGTATTCACAATTTTTAAAATAAACTGATTAAGCTGAACTTATTTCTAATAATACCATCAGTTTTTATTTATTTATTTTTTTACAAAATGTAACAGCAAAAACATTGAGTTTAGCTAATAAAATTCCGTGACCACAATTTTTTTTTAATAAAAAAGAGAAATAAAAAACGGATAAAACATTTTAGGTTAGGAAGAGGTTCTATATGTCCTAAAAGTTTTACAAAATTACTTATTTAGGAAAATCAGAGGTGTACATATCTTTTAAATGTGAATATTTGTCCGACAGCAAGTGAACGCAGCAAAGTTTAACAAGGCTGAGTGCCTGAAAGTAATTTGTTTTCGATGAATCGGGCGGCTTGGATTGGACAGCCGGGGGTTCCGCCCACAAACACACAAGGTGGAGTTGAAAAGAAAAAAACACACTGGGCCAAAATGAAGCTGTCAAACAGCCGCTTACAATTCAGTAAAAGAGGTCTGGAGCTGGTGGAAACCGCCTGAGCACAGCAAAAGAGAAATAAATGCTGACAAACAACAAATTGCATTTGATTTTTATTTGATTTTAAGTAGCAACTTTAAATACGAGAACCAGAGCTGCAACTTTGGCTTTCCTGAGATCCGGAGTTGCCTGCTAAAACCCCCGCGGTGCAAACAGGGTCGGCCTCGGGGAGCTAAAGTAGTCGTGCTCGGTTTTATTCAAAAAATCAACGGTGCGCCACCGCAGAAAAAAAAATGGTGTCGAGTCGGCGCAGCGAAATGGTTGGATGGAGAGGGGAGAGCTGCTGCGCGTTGAGTGGAGGGAGACTGCGAGTGAGATGGAGGCGGGGGGAAGGACCGTCTCTGCGGGGACTGGAGCCCAGCATCGACGGCGCAGTGCTGGCTATAGTTCAACCCTCCCCTTCTTCCTCCACAGCGACGCTGGCTCACAACGAAACAGGTAAGGCACCACAAAACTCGGCCGGTTTCACAGCTATACCACCGAGAAGCTCGTAAAGAAAACGGTGAAAAGTTTACAGTGAAGCATTTAGTTGTGGGGCTGGTTGTCATTTAAACGCCCCTCGCACGGCAGTTTCTTTGTAGCACCCAAACAGAGCGACCGTTGTGGAAGGGTACAGACGAGGTCGGCCATAGCCGAATGACTTAACCCGAACAGTGGGGAAGAACCGCGTTGTAGGACCCGAAGGTAGGTTTCATTTTTACAAAAAAAAAAAGGATACCCGACGACTACTTTAGGCAAAAATACTTTCATCGAAACTGAGATATTCGTGATGTAACGGTGGGGTTTGCGTGGGGAACGAGCCGTGGTTTCCGCGCCGAGACCTCCATGCGGCTGTTGTCGGAATAGCTAGCCGCCACTCTCGGCCAGCCATCAGGGATCTCGGTTTAATATCTCACCGTACAGAGACTCGCCCTCCCTCTCCCCCTCACTCTCTCTCACCGACCGTAGCCCAGAACCACCAGCGACGACCGAGCACGAAGAACCCGCCTTCTCGTCCTTGCTTATGCGCTTTTCGGGTATAGGGGAAGGGAAGCTGCAACGCCCCGGCTTTAGCTCTAAGCTCCGTTGTCAGTGTTTGCAGTGCGCCATTGGACCTTGTCACGGTAGGTTTCCTCACAGAGCAGAGCAGGGCTGAAGCATGGCGGACCTGGAGCTGTTTTTGCCGCGCCAGAGAAGCTGCTCGTACTCGGATCTTGGCGTCCTTTCTGAGACGTAACCGAGCATTTAGGATCCACGTTTTCTCGGCAGTTATGTTCTGGTCCGTTTACTGATGATACAACTAATAATAACGAACAAAAAAAAGGTTAACGTGGTGTTTTTCCGTTTAATATTTTGATATATTTTTTTGCATCTTTCTGCGGCTTCGCAGGTCATTTCAACTGAAAAAGGTCAGCCAATGTTGGTCCTGTTTGCCTGTAATTCTGTTAGATATCACTGAAATAAAACTGATACCATATAACGTAATCCAGATCATACGCGGAGAACAGAAAAATCTAATTAAATGATCTTTCTAACATAAAAATGACTTTCCTAGTCAACTGAATGTACATTTGTTTTTCCACATGGTAAGCTGTCTGGTTGTGTCGTTAGTATCGTTGCAGTTCATTTTTAGACATCCATATGTTGCACTTTTGGTTGAAATTGGCGAAACTCGACGGCAGGTTTTATATAATTTAGTTTCTGGATTAGCATACACGTTAATATACGTGGTTTTAATCGAGCTAGGTCTCGCGTTTGAGCTTGGACCATCAAGGACAAGATGAACAACGAGCATCCGCCATCATGGAAGCGCAGCTCGGCTACGCCTCGCTGAAGAATGCTCTCGGTTTTGCTCCGCAGATCCGCCATGTTACGTTTAAAACACGACGAAAGTGTTCTCAAAATACGTGAAAGCGCTCGTTTTTGCCTCAAACGAATATTTCTTCGACCTCCCTGTATGTATTTGGAGGTTTACAGAGAAAAAAACCGATTAAAAGGTTCGCATGACGGAGCGAGAGCCGCGTCCAACGGTGAGGAGGCGCCTCTTCCGAGTGGCGCATTTGGCTGCAGTGTTTCCAAGCCACCATTCCTGCCTCTCGGAGACCGAAAGCAGATCCCCCAGTCCGTGGTCAGCTGGTCGCCTACAGCTGCCTGTCTGTCCACGTCTATTCGCTTCCTCCTTCCGTAGATCCTCCCCAAAAACTCCGCTCCGACAGAAAAATCCTCCATTACCGAGCAGACCGAGGGAGAAAATGGTCGCTGCTGTCTGTCCACGACACTTTTGTTGTGGAATAAGGACAGAGCTAATTCGCCAAATTCCGGTTTGGAAAAAAAAGAGATCGTCTGAGACTCCTGTTGTCGTAGCTAGTTGTGCGAGTTTGAAACCCTCCGCAGTGTTATTTGAGATTTGAAGCCGTCACAAGGAATAGCCTATGTCTCACCATGTAGCGTAAACGTTTTAGGGGCGGTGTAATGAACTTAAAACATCATGCAGAGGCAGGTTTACATTCACAAAGAAATTTATTCATTTTTAATCCGCAAATTCATAACTCGCAATCTGTTTTTTAAACAATGACTAGAAAAAAAAAGTAACTTATTTGACCACTTAAAAAAAAACTGGGATCTGAAATGTTTTTTTTTTATTTGTTCCTTTTAAGGTTCCATGGAGCCAATACATGAATGAATGAAAACAGTTTATTTTTTTTAATTAATAATTTATTCTCATATAAAATCACATTAATTGGTCGAAAACCCTTTTATATTCCAAGCATTTCTGCAATTTCAAGCAAATTGGATCTCCTTTACGTACTTAAATGAAAATTTGATGTAAATCAATTTTCTTTCACTAACTGCCTGGACCTTTATTTAAACATTTACCAGGACTGGGTTAGTTTGGAATAATATTTTGATTTCCGGACTATTGAGTTTGTCCAAAATCTTTCAATTCACCCATTAATCGACGTATTTCCGTCATATCCTTCTGATTATAGTTTAGGAAAAAAAACAAAAATCAGGTTTGGTATTTAAAATGGACATAAATTGCAGTAAATTCAATTTATGCCCATAAATTCAATTTATGCCCATAAATTGAATTTATGGACATAAATTCCATAAATTTATGTTCATAAATTTATGGAAATATCCTCTGATTTCACATTTTTATCCCTTTTCTGCACATTTAAAATATTTTTTAATTTCTTAACATAATAGCATACATGCTGTTTTAAAAGCATGTATGCTGTTATGTTAAGAAATTAAAAGCATGTATGCTTTTAAAACAGGCTACACACGATTGGAACTCTGGAAATGTGTGGAAAAAATATGTAAACAGGATGGTGACTTTTCTCATTGTTAAGTGATTAATTCCTGTATTTTGAATTCTTTTGATTTTATACATAAGTTTAAAGCAAAGATATACAGTAAATATTTGTAGTTGAGCATTAAAAGTGAACTAAATACATATTCACGAGAACCATGAGGTTAGTTAGACAAAAAGTTTGTCTTTATTTGCAGATTCGGGACTTTATAATCACAAATGAATGGAGACATGGAGGCGGTGGCCCAGGACCAAGGTATGATTCTCCAACAGCTCTGTTCATTTCAAACCTTTTCATACCATTTTCTTGCCCTTCCATATATTTGATAACATTTCTGTTCTTCTTTTGTAATGTGGCCATAGTGTGGGCGCAGGATGACCTCCTAAAATTGCTGGACTCCATGAAAGTGGCTCTGCCTCAGAAGGATCTGACAAAATACAAAACCTCCGAGTCCCACCTGGACTGGCAGAAGGTAGCCTTCAACTCCTACACAGCAGAGATGTGCAAGCAGAAATGGCAGGAAGTCTCAAAAGAGGTGAGCCACATTAAATGACTTCAAACTCAGACTAAATGTTCAGAGGAGACCGCATTTAGAGCCAACCCATGTGTTTTCATTTCATAAAGATCCGAAAATTCAGAACTCTAACAGAGCTGATAGTTGATGCCCAGGACTACATCAAGAATCCTTACAAAGGCAAAAAATTAAAGGTGAGTTGCACTCAATACTTCTCACACCAAAGCGACAAAGCTATGAAAGTGAAGCTCAAAATACAGACTTTTTTTTTTTTATCTTGTCTTTCCAAAGAAACACCCAGATTTTCCCAAGAAGCCTTTGACTCCGTATTTCCGTTTCTTCATGGAAAAGAGGGCCAAGTATGCAAAGTTGCATCCTGAGATGAGCAACTTGGACCTCACTAAGATCCTCTCCAAGAAGTACAGAGAGCTTCCTGACAAAAAGAAGGTCAGATAAGTTTTTTTTTTTTTTTAATCTAAAGTTAAAGTTTAATTTTTACATTTAAAACTGTGGATTCACTTTAACTAAAACTTGTTTCATTTTTGTTTAAACAGAAAAAGTATGTAGATGACTTCTTGCGTGATAAGGAAACATTTGTGCAAAGCATGATGAAATTCAGGTAAGAATTATTAATGCAGTTATTTTCTTTAAATAATTTATTAGTTGGTTCACAATATCCCACTTTCTTGGAAAGCCTAAAGTTTTTATTGTTTTTTTCTGCAAATTAACTAATATATCAGTTGTTGTTTTACTTGCATTTTCCCAGATTTATGAGCAATAAGACCAATAAGGCATAACCAAGGAGGAATATAAAATATGCAAGCCTTTAACATTTATTAAATCTTTTATTTAAAACAAAATTACAATAATTTTTGCAAGTTTATCTCTAATATAATTAATATGAGGCTTATTATTGTTTGTTGTGTGTAGTATTTGTACCATTACTAAATGCTTAAATTGATAATGTGTGCAAACAGGGAAGACCATCCAGACCTCATGGAGAACATGACTAAGAAAGGCTCAAATGTCCCAGAAAAGCCCAAGACGCCTCAACAGTTGTGGTATAACCATGAAAAAAAGGCATTCCTCAAGACCCACCCTGATGTAAGCCAGAGTCTGAAACTCCCACAATCCAGTTTGATTGTTGGAAATGTGCTTTCTGAAAGATGTTGACCGTTTGTGTCTCACAATCAGGCGACCACCAAAGACATCAAGGACAGTCTTGGTAAGCAGTGGACGCAGCTGTCTGACAAAAAGAGGCTCAAATGGATTAGCAAGTCCCTGGAGCAGCAAAAGTTGTATGCGGTGCGAGGATTTGGTTAACTCCAACATGGTGGGTCTGCACAGTGGTTTAGGTTGTTTTTTATAAATGGATTTTCCGTTTTGTTTTTCTAGGAAGCGATGCGGGAATACATCCAGCAGCACCCGGAGCTGAACATGACCCAGGGAGCCATCGTGAAGTCCACCCTGACTAAGGCGGAGCGGCACCTCAAAGACAAGTCCGACGGACGGCCCGACAAACCACCCCCGTAAGCTCCAACCGTACGAAGCTCTCCATCGAGCTGCTGTGACGGACTTACTCAGAAATCCTGTGTGAATGTTTTAGAAACGGTTACTCGATGTTCTGCGCCGAGCTGATGTCCAGCATGAAGGATGTTCCGAGCACAGAGCGCATGGTTATGTCAGCCAGCGGTGGAAGCTCCTGAAGCAGAACGAAAAGGATGCGTACCAGAAACGCTGCGAACAGGTCAGTCCGACAGCAAATCACGAAAAATCACCGTCCGGGTCTTCACGGGTCTTTATTTGATTCCTTTTGCTTTTTTAATCCAGAGGAAGAAGGAGTACGAAATAGAGATGAACAGATTCCTCAGTGTGAGTTCCCAGTGTGTTTTGGTTCTGTTATTTTCTCATTAAGAATTCAATTTTTACCTGAAAACTAAGTGTTTGTTTTTATTGTTTCAGACCTTGTCAGAGCAGGAGCAGCAGCGAGTTCTGGGGGAGGATAAGATTGGTCTTAAAAAGAACAGTGCTGCCAGCAGTCCTGCCTCTAAAAAGAAAAATGCTAAAACGAAGGTAAAGCTTGCATTCTTTCTTTTGTTTCTCTTTTTATCTTCCAAAAAACACAAACTCATTTGCATTGAATTTGTAGGCAAGTACAGAGAAACCCAAGAGGCCCATCTCTGCCATGTTCATATTCGCTGAGGAGAAGCGAGCCAAGCTGCAGCAGGAGCGACCCGACATTCCGGACAGCGAGCTCACCAGACTCCTGGCCCGCATGTGGAACGAGCTGCCTGATAAGAAGAAGGTAGCGTGTCTTCTACATAAAATGATTAAAATAAACATCCCAATAAGTCGCTGTTCTAACATTTTTCTCTTTGTGATTCAGGAGAAGTATAAACGCTTGGAGGCGCTTCTGAAAGCCGAGTCTGAGAAGAAGGAGAGGGAGGACAGAAGTCGCCTGCCGGATCCGCCCAAAACGGCTCAGGAAATCTGGCAGCAGAGTGTCATAGGGGACTACGTTGCCAGATTTAAGGTCCGAATGACTTCAGAGACACAACCTTCTAGTATCCCCGTTATTTTTTCTACCAGTGAAACTTAAAAGAGCCCTTTTTGTTGCAGAATGATCGACCAAAGGCGCATAAAGCCATGGAAACGGCGTGGAGCACCATGGAGAAAAAGGAGAAGATCATGTGGATCAAAAAAGCTGCAGAAGACCAGAAAAGATATGAAGTAAGATCTAATTTTATTTCCAAAACAAAGTAAATTGTGTTATTTAGTAGGAAACACAAAATAGTGCACAATTATGAAGATACAGTGAAGCATTTCAGAGTTGATAAGATAGAAAGTCAACATTTTGAAAACAAATATTCAAATTACCCTCATTTACCAGCAGAGAAATTTGTGAACTTTTAGTGAAAGCATCTACAAATGGACGAGTAGGAACTAAACTGACTCATTTGTGTTTAACAGAGAGATCTGTGTGAGATGCGATCTCCTGCTAACGCCGTCACATCTTTGAAGAAGATGAAGTTTGAAGGAGAACCCAAAAAACCACCATCGTAAGTTAGCAACGTGACACTTTTCTGTTTTAAATGACCATAAAGGGATGTGAAACTGTGACAAACTCTCACCCTGTTAGAAACGGATACCAGAAGTTCTCCCAAGAGATGCTGTCCAATGGCGAGCTGAATCACCTCCCGATGAAGGAGCGAATGGCTGAGATCGGCAGCCGGTGGCAAAGGCTGCCACTGAAGGACAAAGACCGCTACAAGAAGATCGCCGAGGAGAAGCAGAAGCAGTACAAAGTTCTCCTGGAACAGTGGCTCGCTGTAAGAACTGTTCTAAAATAAACAAATCTTTTTAAATTAGCTTTACCGATTTTTACTTTCCCTACATCTCATCTGCCAACAGAGCTTGTCTTCACAAGAGCGAAATACTTACAGAGAATACAATTCCCAAGTAAGTTTTTACCTCTCGTATCAGCAGTTTGCTTTTAAAGTGCTTTTTTGAAAATTCTTTGTCATTTTGAGCAGCTGAGATCTTAAGTTCTTTTCATTTGATTCACAGAAAAGAAGAAATCCAGCAAAACCAGGAGCTGCCAAAGCAAAAATTAAGAAATCTGTGAGTCTTTGAGTTCATTTGCTCACCTGAAGTCATGAAGCTCGTTCCCCGAGTCTAAAAATGTGCTTTCTGATAGGACACGGAGGAAGAGGACGACGATGATGACGACGATGAGCAGGAGAAGGCTTCATCTGAAGCAGACTCCTCCAGTGAGGATGACGACGATGATGAAGAAGATGACGATGATGTGAGCGAAATCTAATTGCTTAAAAGTATTGAGTTAAAAGAAAAACATGAATGCTAATTTTTTTTTCCTGTTGAAAGAACGATGAAGATGACGATGATGACGACGACGATGACGATGATGATGAGGTGGACGACAAAGAAAACAAATCGGACGATGACAGCAGCAGCGACTCTAACTCTGCCGAGTCGTCGGAGTCGGATTCGGACTGAAACATGGCTGCCGCCGCCGCCGCCCAGAGACGAACTAAAGCAGCGCTGAGCTGAGCCAAGAGTCCAGGGAGCTCTGCCACTGTGCCAACCCTGCTCTCCTCCCACTAGAGGGAGCTCTCCTTCCCCTCCGCATCGCTTCATCTATCCTACACCCGGTTTACGTTGCTGCTCCAAAAGGAAGCCCGGCCCTGAAGTCAGTCCGATTCCCTCCTGGGTGTGACGGTCACAGCTGACGTTATACCAAAAACAGCATCCCACTGGTTTGGTGATGTCATGAACATTTCTTCTCTGAGTTTGGTTATTTTATTTGCAGGCTCTATAGTAAAAGTTTGAGTTAAATCTATCAGGTAATCAGTTTCCCTCCAGTATTTTTTTTTTCCTGACAAGCAGGTTGTGGACAGAACAGGCTTCAGAGCCAAAGAACACAATTTGGTGGATCACTTCATGAAGAGGGGGGCAGGGAGCATGTGCAGGGCACTGAATAATTGCACTCTTTAGAATGTTTCTTTTAATTACTTTTTTTTTTTTTTTTTTTTTTTTCATTTGATGTAGATTTTGTGATTTGGTTCTTACAACGGTGGTCTTTTGTTTTGAAGTCAAGCCATTAAGAATGTTTTTCTGTCACTGGAAGTTGTTTCCGGATGTCTTCTCAGTAGGTTTAGCATGATTTCCGTCAGAGTGGATGGGCTCCAACTCATCTATACCGCTGGCAGATTTATGAATTAAAGGCATTTTCATTCAGTCGAGAAGTTTGGCTTTGATTTGAACTGATGCAGGCATCTCTCGTTATGTAAATGAGGACAATGTTTTGTCACATTTGGGTGGGGGGGATAAAAATCTCTGTTTTATTTCAGTTTTAACAAGACCTCGCATGTTTAAAATTATTTATATCCTTTTTTTTAATAATCGGTGGACAAATGTGCATTACAGAAAACAAACCCCTCCAACAATTGCTGACTGACTTTGTGCATTAAATCTAATGGGTAATTATTCATACCCATGTTAAAGGGTATGAATAATTTATTTGGCATAACCTTTACTCAGCATTAGAGAAAATACAATAATTACTGTAAGTTTTGGCAAACTCATTAAGCTCAATCCACAAAACATTGGAACTTACCGCTGCAACAATCAGTTTTTACAAAATAACAAGATCCATAAAATGTAAAAACATCTGAAAATATTTAGTAATTTCTTTATTTTCAATGCCTTTCTTACACTGTAAGAATAGCATTGTAGATTTTCTGTGTCGGAAAAAGTGTTTAATGCGTTGGAATTTACAGACTTCATATGTTGAGGTTTAATCAGAAGGTTTAAAATGCATTAATTTCCAGGTGTAAATATTTGGTAACATCACAGCATCCAGGTCGTCTCCAAAACAACACGTCTCATAGGATTCATTTATCAGTCTTAAAACAATTCTGGTTGTTTCAGCAGTTTGTCTGGACCTCAAAGGGAGCCATTTTTGCAGTGGTCTCCATTTAAGTTTTAGTATTTTTAGTATTTTTAACTATATACCTTTGGATGTTTTTATTATTTTGTTGATATACTTCCAGGTTTTTCATTGATCTTCTGCTGAGGACCTGAATGGTTTCATTTTTTTTTTAAATTGAGTTTTGTTTATTTCAGTGGCTGTCATGACTTTGGGTTTTGTCTAATGCCCCCCTCCTAAAAAGTGTACACTTAATGTAAATCTGTCCTTCTGAGTTTGTGTGCACGCATTCACATTGCTGTGTATATACGACGATGTGTGCGTGTGTATTTCTATTTTTTGCTTTAATGTTTGCTGTTGATGCTATTTTCTTGCAAACAGAGACGTGACTACAGCTTGTCTGTGTGGGGGCAACATACCAACACCATGAATGTACATATTCATTTTTGGATCCCAACCTTCCCGAATTTGTGTCATTATTTCCCTAATAATGGACAAAACTTCCATCATTTTTATTCTGATTGATTACTTTGTTATTGATCTGTATGTGATGGAATATTTTGACTGTATCACAGACTGAAACAAAAACCAGCGTGGGCTATTTAAGTAACTTGAGGAGGGGAACAAGTGACTGACGCAAAGGGAGTTACTGGGTGGAGCCGAGTTACCTAAAAATTTGGGGTTAAAAAATGTAATTTTTCTGTAAATACTGTTTTTTTTTTTTTTTTTTTTTTTTTGTATTGAGTGGATTTTGTTTTGTTAGTATGTTAATTTTGCAATCCGTCTTCTGTGACTTCCAGGGCCAGTGAGTCTTCCACTCACGGGAGGAGAGTTTTTAGTTTAAGGTCACCTGTTTTACTTGTTTCTTCTCTTCCCCTATGTTGGTTTGTAGAGATATGTATGACAGCAAAGCTTTACAAGTTTGTACTGCTGATCATTTGACAGGATTTGATGTTTTATATAGCAAAGGATGTTCTTATGTCCTTGTAGTTTAAGTATTTGGGCAAATAAAAAAAAGATTATCCTTAAAAGTAAGTCTATTGTCTTTAAGAGTGAGTGAATGGGCAGGTGCATCTGCTATGTCTTTAAGGAGCAGCTGTCTAATGTAGACAATCAACTATTGATGTCTAATGTAAAAGTCACTCTTGCCAGTTTAAAGAGGAAGCAGATGAGCTGAGCTTTCAAAATACAGCAACAAGTCCAGATGAAATGGGAATCCAATGTAATTCTGGTAACGTATGAATAAGAGAGCCAGCAATTTTCACCTTAATAGTACAATAATTGTTACAAAAAGCATCCTTGTATTTTTTTTAGCCAAGATTTTTAAAGATTTATTTTTTATTTAAATTGGCAGGTTGAGGGTCAAATCTCTATGCCAATGTGACTGTCAACTGAAAGTGAACTGTCAGAGTAAAACACTGGATTAGATATAAACAAATGTACAAATACAAAATTTTAAATTCCTTTCTTTATATAAATAACACTTGAAACGTTTCTGCTTCCGGCCTACAAAATAATACCAATGCTGACTGCTCTAATTCCTGAGTTGTGAGACGTGTATTGCTAAGGATTAAGATAATGAAAAAGAAAAATTGCTCAGATATATGCTGGAAAATTAAGCTCAAATACAGACTGGAGCTAATTAAAGTCGGACACCAATCCCAGCTGCAGAATCCAATATGGCTGCTGCACATATAAAATAAATTGATAAGATGGAGTAGAAACCATTTATTGCCTGGTGAGCACTTCCTGTTGAGATTAGACTACAAATCTAAACATTTAAATCTTAAACATTAAATAGGAACATATTTTAAACATCGCTAAAAAGAAATTCTCTTTTGAAAAGCATGTTAGTTTCATAAAGAAGATACTTTTATTTGTAAAATTGAAACCGGAAGTCAGTGGGCTGCTAATGTTTTTATCCTCTTCCTGTTTGTCAGTGTGTGTTTTTTCCTGCTGGCCTCTTCGGTGAAACTGGTTTCCTAACGTCTGAGTTTAGCTAGCTGACACCTGCGACGGTTTCCCCTTTAAAAGCGGAAACCGTTTCACCTGCAGCGTCAAAGATGGCGGCGGCCTAGGAGCGGTTATTTGTATTGGCAGCTTGTCGTACAGTTTATGTGGACGGAACCGGTTATGTTGGCTACCTCGGAAGAACAGCCAATTTCGGGCTGAGCTTCTGGTATGCCGGGGTAAGAGGAAACACCTTCTGTTTCATTTGTAGCTCGGCCTCAGCTGCTTCTTTAATTCGTCTTACTTGCGTCGCTTAAACCCTGTCAGAGATAAATCCTAATGTGTTAAACTAACAGGGCTAGAAGATAGTAACGCTCATTTTAGCCAATAAACGGTGGTGACAAGCGTTTTAAAACCATAAACGACAGGTAAGGGACTTTGTTGCTGTTTAAAATGCGTCTTTATTTTATTTTTTGAAAAGGTTTATATGATTATGTTGTTGATTTTGATGAGATAACGGCTGTAGTGAGTATTTTAGGTGAGTTTTGCGTTTTATTTAAATGAATGGCAGGCTTTTTATTGTATGTTCATCGACGTGATGCCATATGTATGATTAAACCATCTCATGTTTGACAAAATGAAGCAATGTATTTAACTTTTTACTTTAAATCTAGATATCTTGTAATCTGTGATTTCACTGTAAAGTTTGGACTCTTAAAGCTACTTATCAGAAATATCTGTTGAATGAATCAAACTGACCTAAGGTATAGTTTGACACATGTGGAATGATGTTATATTAATATCAATATCTAATGCAAGTTGTGATTTACTGTCTTCTTATAAACACTCTTTAAGGCACATATGTCTCTGGTGACATCACAGGAGGTAGCATTCTTTTAAAATTAACTGTTTTCTTTTTTTTTAACGAGTTCTTTAATGATCTTGGGAGTCAAATGGAAAAAGGCAAAGAAAAGTATCAATTTATGCCATTTAAAGTTCTGAAGGCTGTAATTGTCTTTAGGTTCACCGTGTGTTGCAACAATAATGGTTTGAAAGTAATTTGAGTCAAACATCAAGTTGACTTTCAATCTGCAAACAGCTCAATTCGGCTTCTGGTGACTTCATCAATAAAATAAACCCTAAGGCAGCTTTGATGGTGTTTTGAACGTGTACTTTTTTAAAAAAATCCTTCTTTGTCAAAAGTCACGCTCTAATGCTCAGCTGTTTTTTTTTTTTTTTTTATGGGGTCAGTGTGAATTTATTATTGGAAAAAAAATACATGACTGCAAAGTATATTTAAGTGTGACTTTATGTACCCAGGTTAGCATCTTAAGATCCAGAGGTCCATCACAGATTTTCAAATGAGAATGGAGGAAAAGCCCCTCTCAGGCCCAGACAACACCAGGCTGGAGGTGATTCTTCCTCCAACAGATTTCTTTATGTTTGTTTTTGAATATTGAATTCCTGTTTTGCACTTTGTGTTTATTTTGCAGGCCCTGATCCAAGACGTGTACTCTGAGCTGGTGGAAGATGCGTGTTTGGGCCTGTGTTTTGAGGTGCATCGCGCCGTTAAACAGGGCTATTTCTTCCTGGATGAAACGGACCAAGACAGCATGAAGGAGTTTGGTTGGTGGCCAGTCCTCCTCGTGTTTTCTGTTACTTTTTTTTCCCCCTCTGTCACCAGGTTCTTTTACCATATATGTATCTGTTTATTCCTTCAGAAATAGTGGATCAGCCAGGAGTGGACATATTTGGTCAGGTGTTTAATCAGTGGAAGAATAAAGAGTGTGAATGTCCCAACTGCAAAAGGTTAATAGCAGCTTCTCGCTTTGCTCCTCATCTGGAAAAATGTCTCGGCATGGGACGCAACAGCAGCCGCATCGCGAACCGCAGGTCAGTCAGTAATGATTGGAACGGATTTGTGGCTCATTTGAAATTCTGAACTTTTATGTTTTCTCATTAATTGTTTGGTTTTAAAAGATTGGCCACCAATAACATCAGCAAATCTGAGAGTGATCAGGAAGATAATGACGACCTTAATGACAATGATTGGTCGTATGGAGCAGAAAAGAAAGGTGAGAACATAAAGATGATCTTAGATAACTCTGTTAATGCTGATGCATACTGAGCACATTTATTATGCATCTTTTGCAGCCAAGAAGAGAAGGTCAGATAAGGTAAATTAGCTGTAGTTTTAGGCACAGAGTAAATGTTTTCTGATTGCAGGTAAGAGTTTAATTATAATATTTTTCTTTTGCAGAATCAGAACTCTCCAAGACGATCCAAATCTCTGAAACATAAAAATGGTGAGTGGCTCAGAAGATTAGATTCTGTTTTAGTGGAAAAGATTCATCCGAGTGATTAATCTTTAACCTATCTTACAGTCAAGATAATAAGAAAGGGAACAGAAAAGGCTTTGCTTTTTTTTAATAATAGTAGTTTATAATACTTGTGAATTTAAAAAAAATATTTTTAGAGTGTTGAAAATGTTTTTATAAATGCTGATTAAGCATATATATATATATATATATATATATATATATATATATATATATATATATCCATTTGTTTAAACCCCATTTACACATATTTGTTTAATTTCACTTTCAATTATTTCTGTCACAAATTTAAAAGTCACAGTTTTAAAACAAGGGACCATGAAAAAGTTACATCTTTGCAAAGTGAAAATGGAGAGCTACTTTTAAAACTTAAACATTACTGAACAAATTTTTTAAATTATAGTACATTAAAATGTATTTCTTGTCATTTAGGCGAGCTTGGGACTGGCCTTATTTCGGATCCCTACAAGGTAACAAATCTTCAGACTTTTGTGACTTTTATTCTATATTTTTCCGTCCTGATTTCAGATGGTTTTGTCTTTCTCAGCAGTACAACTACAATGCTGGCATCAGCTATGAAAGCTTGGAACCAAATGAAATCAGATCTTTATTAACAACAGTGAGCATCTTTCATGGCACCATGCATTAATGTTTCTGGTTGCTGTTAACTTTAATTGTTAATTAAAGTGATGTGTTTCTGCAGCAATGTGGGGTGATCTCTGAGCATACCAAGAAGATGTGCACAAGGTAGTCACTGTGGGGGGGGAAAAGGATTTAACTGCCGATGCATTTTTTTCTTTTTTGCTGCAAATGATTCTCTAAAGGAATGCCGTTATTGGATTATAGGCAATAACATGTTTCAAAAAAAGTAATTAAATGTGTGTGTCTGTATTTTTTAAATGCATTTCTAATAAGTAAGCATAAATTGTTAAATAAAAAATCTGCAGATTTAATCGTCAGAATAATAGATTATTCGTTTACTAAAATAATCGTCAGTTGCAGCGCTAGAAAAGATGAAGATGAGTGGACATGTTGGCGAATAGAAAAGCAATTGGATCGATTGATAATGCTGCCTCGTGTCCCTTCAGGTCTCATCGGTGTCCGCAGCACACAGACGATCAGAGGAGGACTATCAGGTTGTTCCTCCTGGGGCCGTCCGCGTGAGTCTGCCTGCCTCCTTTCTCAAAAAATACTCTGTTTTTATTCCCTAAGTGACAATTTGGGGGATTCATAAAAGTATAAGCTGATAAACATTTACTTAAAACCTTTTAAAGTATGTTTTAATTGAATAGCATTCTGTTTTATACCAAAAAAAAGGCAAAATGTCATCGGAAATACTCCATACTTATAAAACGGTTTTGTTTGGCTTAATGATTAAAAAAAATTGCCTCTTAAAAGAGCAGGGAGAAAAAAAATGTCTATGTATTTTTTAGAAATGCATCAATCTCTACAAATATTGGTGTATCTGTCCCACTATGGAAAAAAAAAAGTGACATTATGGCCAATCCACAAATCCAGATGTGTCAAACTCAATGCATTCTTTGAAGATCATTCACGGTTCATTGATTATCAGAATTTGGATTCGACTCCCTGCCTTAATCACTGTTTTTCTGCATTGGATCGATATCAGCCGATACTACAACTTAAATCTCTGTATCGGCATCAGAAATGGAAAAAGTAGATTGGTGCATCCATAGTATTTTTCTGACATTTTCAACACAATAACTTGAGTGTCGATTAAACACATGTATTTGTTTGTGTGTTTGTCGACACATAAATACATGTATAGTTTCTCACAGAAAGAATAGATTTTCGGGCATAAAAAATATTAAATACTTCATCTTTACTGTGTGTGTTTTCACTGTTTCTGTGTGTGTACAGGCCGACACTTCCTGATGCTGATATGGAAGGCGACAGCTTTGACATTCCCAATGGTCAGGCCTTACTGAGCCGCCTGCAGTGGGACGACTTCCCTGACGTCTCCCCCACCGACTCTGCCTCATCAAAAGCCAGTAAGGAAATGTCAACGCCGTCAATCAAACCTGTACCTGAGGATTTAGGTTTTATAAATAAATGCATCCGTTTTTCTCACAGGCACCAATCATTCAGATTCTAAGAGGCCTAAAAAGAAGAAGAGGTTGGATCTGAGCTTGAACAGTGGAGGGGGAGGAGTAAATATGACTGGAGTCGTCAGCAGCAGCTGTCAGAGTAATATCAGCTTATCAACCAAAAAAAAGAAGCCCAAAACAGCAGCACCTTCTGTTTCCAGCATCTATGATGAATTAAACTAGCATGGACCTGCTTTTCATGCACAGGTTTAGGATATGACTTATCTTTGAATGCAGGGATCCTCCTTCTTCATCGGAAACTCTCACTCATCTACTTCTTGCATTGAAATTCATAATTCCAGTTATATACAAGAAGCTTCCAATTTAATAGGACTAGAAAATCAGGGGGTTTCACAATCAATTTCAAGTTGCCTAACTGAACCCAAAAGAAACTTTGTTGTTAAGTCTTACATATTTCTTAAAAGAAGAAGAAAAAAAATAATTATAATTTACTATGTAGGAAAAAAAACAAAACGTCATATAGCTCCTTGTCAGAGTTGTCAAACCCATTTTGACATTTATGCAGTGAATCTGGATTTCAAACTTCTTTTCACCATTAATGCAACACATATCTTGTCTGATTAGAAATGTAACAAATCTTTAGTAGAAGTCATTATCAATCCGGGTCCTTGCTTGAGAAGCACCGTTTTTTGGGGGGAGCTGGGAACATATACAAAGTAAAGAAGTTGAAACCATGTGGACTTTATTTTACTTTATTTTTTATTTTTTACAACATCTTTTGGTTAACTTTCAGCATACCACATTTCTCAGAAAATACATATAGGAAAAATATAGGGGTGCTGCAGTAAGTGTGACGCCTTGCAAAGGTTCTGTGAGTCCATCAGGATCACTGCAGGATTTAGTTCAGCTGTAATCCCTTTTCAGCTTCCTATATTTTATCTTCATAATAATCATTATTCAATAACAAAAGCTAATCCCAGATCATGATGCTGCCACCACTGTGTTTTATGATGGTTTTTGGTTCTGCTTGGTGTTTGTGTACAAAGTAGCTGCTTAATTAAAGTTTTTATCAGTTGAATGCAGGATAAATGTCACATTTACGGAGAAAAGCCTTTGTGCACTTATAATTTATAAAATAATGTTTCCTAAATTTACTATGTAGGATGTAAATAATTTGTGTGAAAACTGGGAAAAAAAATCTGATATTTTTAGTGAATTTATGAAAAACTTTCTTTACTTTTATTTCTGACATCTTCAGTTCTCTGACTTTCTGCGTTTATTCTGCTCTTTTTTTCTGCTCCATTTAAACAAAAGTACTGAGGAAGGACTCATCAGTGACTTAATACTGGCATTGTATTGCACAATTGTGTGCGTCTGTGGGCTGATTTGCATTCAGTGTGAATGTCACTTGGATATGTGTGTGTCGTCTTTTCACAAAATCATGAAATGTGACATTTTATGGAAGGATTTTGGCCATTTTAGATATTTCCCTGCATTTACATGAATGTGGTTTTGTGAGTGCCTTTATAGTGATGTTCATGTTTTTCTGAGGGGCTTTTATGGCACATATAAAAACATTTAGTAGCTAACTTGAACCAGGAACCCATTGTATTTTTTATGTTTATATTTTTTCAGGCACTTTGTGTTTATGAATGTCAGAAAACATGTGGGTGCTGCAGTAAGTGCGACGGGTCTGTGTTCTGTGATATATATATATATCTGTGTGCTAAATTTAACAATCAGTAAATTAGTTGGCGATTATTTTAATAATCACAATTGTTTCAGCCTGAGAAATTTTTCTCACATTGAAAAATTATGTTTGTTTCAAATGCAAAAAGGACCCAGAGCATGTCAGAATGATCAGAACTGTATCTGGTTCAGCTGTGAAGGCGACAATCAGATGAGGCTGGTGATATGCACTGTTAGATATACTGTAACACAGACGTTTGAAATCTTTGCTTCTGGCGCTTTTGTGAATGAAACCAACAGCTGATGTGCATTAAAGTGAAAATGCAATATTGACTGATATTTATCAAGTACAGATGAGTGCCATGTATCTAAATGTGACTGTTTTTTTCCCCCGTCATTGCTGTTTCTAAATAAACATTTAGTGCACAAACAGATTCAGGCGAATGAAACTGACTTGGCTGGAAATTCTTTAATTCTAGATACAGCTGAAACAAGACAAGTCCAGTATTGATCAGGAAGAATATCCCACTGCAAGTCTGTTAAGTGCCAGATGTAGTTTCATCAGATGTACTCTATTTTATTTACAGAAAATACAACATATTTACAGTCTCTCTCATGTCTAGCAGATGCTTAAGGTACCGATGGAAAGCAGCGAAAAGAAATGTCTTCGCCTTGACCCGAGACGGCTGGACAGTTTTTCATCCACAGAAAGCTTTTAATCTAATACAACAGGAGTCAAACTTTGTAAAGCACAATAGTGCTTTTAGATTTTACCTTTGTTTCTTGAAACATAATTTTTCTTTCCAAAATAAAGATGAGAGATTGATAAATCTACCAACAAAAGACGAGATGAAGCCAGAGTGTTGCTAAATAATGCTCCAGTTAAATCCTCTGCACTTTGACCGTGCTTTTTATTTTTCTTGGTATGTGCTCCAACAGGCTCATTTTGCCTCCCGTCAAACACGCACACACATTTAAGCAGCTGCAGCCTTTTTTTTTTTTTTTGCACTCAAGCCTCTGTTTTTTATTTAGTTCCTCTTTGCTGCAGTTACTTCTTGTTTTCAACACTTCGCAATGTGCCGCAGCCTCGAGCCACGTCTTCTCAGCGGCTGTGCATTCCAAATATCAGAAAGCTAAAAAACACAGTGACTCCCACCAGGGAGATGGTCGCCGGTGCTGTGAAGAACTGCCTGTAGTTGATGCGGAAGTACCAGACCACAGCCAGGATCACCACGAATACGGGCACTACCATGCTGCTGGTGCTGACGGCCACGCTGGCCGACCTGAGTCCTCCAGGCGCCACGGGGCCGGCCCCCGCCCCAGGCTGGGACCCTTCCTCCGGGTTCGGTCCTTGCATGGCCTGAGAGATGTGGCAGTGGATCACGCTGTTGTCGGTGATGTTTAAGGAGAACAGTGTCTTCTTGGGATCCTGCAGCAACTGGCCTCGGTAGATTAGTTTCACCTGATGCTCCCGTCCTGAAAAACATTTGCTGGAAAAGGAGAGAAAATGGATAAAAGATGCATTAGAGGAATTAAAGCATTTCTTGGAAACATTTCAACATATGTTTATTAATTTTTTTTGCACAAAATCATTCTTGGATGAGATTTTTAATTGAGCTTTTTTCAGAATGAGCTGTTTCAGGATGTCTCTTCACTTTAACTCCACGCCGCCTCAAACTCAGCATTTGAAAATGGCTGCAAACGGCAGTGCAATTACACAATCGTACATCTTTGAGAAGCAAAACTTTAAGCTAAAAACATTAGCTTATTTCCAAAAAACAGCCTGGTGTTTTTAAGCACTAGATCTGTTTTTAGAAGCAGTAGAGGCTCAATTGGAATTACAAAACGTGCATAATGTGAATTTTCCATAGTACGTCGCCTTTAAATGTTTTTTGGCAGACAGACTTGAGGTAAAACTACAAAGACTTAGCTTGTTTTTGTACATAACACAAAATGTTGAATAAATGAAATCCTCAGAATTAAATAAAACGGTATTTGTCTCTCCCTGCAGGCCTGTCAATGTGGTCTGCAGAAAACAAGCTCAGCTTTCACATTTTTGCGTTAAAGCAAAACCTGCAGTTGCTCTTTGTTTACCAAAATGTTAGAGCATTTTGGCATCTAAGCTTGATGTTTATCCTGTGTTTTTTAATGTGCCACGTATTTATGTGTTTATGATTTTGTCTGACGTACTTGGTGTTCGGTGTGTAATTTTACTTGATTATTTTAAAGTGTGTTTAGAAAAGCGCTATACAAATAAAATATGTGTTTATTATTTTCCGTTGGGTATGTTTAGTCCATCCATCCATTTTCTAGCACCCTTGTCCATAACGGGGTCGGTCGGTGCTGGTGTCCATCTCCAGCAAACGTTTCAACCGAGAGGCGGGGTCATCCTGGACAGGTCACCAGTCTGTCACAGGGCAGGGTATTTTTAATCGACAAACCTCTTCAGTATTCCCACTGTATCTTCAGGTTCTACAACGGCAACCTCCTCTGTGTCGTTTAAAAACTTGAGCCGGACGGCAATGGAAGTGGTGGTGGAAGCACACGGGACAGTGGTTCTCAGACTCAGAACGGCCTTCACCGGATGTCTGTCTGCCCCTTTTAACTCCTCTTCTTCATCGTCATTCTCGTCAGCTTCGTCCTCCTCTCCGTCAGAGGAGTGCAGCGCTCCGACCTGAGGCTGTTTGCTCCGAATGTCCAGCCGCAGGTCCGTCCAGACGTCCTCGGCTGCCTCCGCATCACCCTCTCCCCTCTCGTTCGCAGGCTCCCCGTCGTCCGGCTTGTTCTCCTGTGCAGGTTGGGCGGCCTGCTGCTCGGGGGCGTCGGCGCCGTTGGGCCCCCCGCTGTAGTTATCGTGGCCTCCCAGTCCTATTAGTGAGGCATGAGCGCCCACGGTGAGGATGGTGCCCAGGATGTGGTCTCCCCGATCTGCGACGTGAGTCGAAAGCCAGGCTAAGATGAGGGCCAGGGCGAGGAGCAGCGCGCCGCCCGCGGCCACCATCTCCTCCTCCACCCCCTCCAACATGGTCAGTGCACACACCGCCATCTCTGTTCTCTGAACCTGAAGGAGAAGATGGACAGGTAAGGCTCAAGTTCATTTTTAAATTGTAATGTTTATATTTAACAGGAAAACACTCAAAAATTGAGACTTGTCACAATAACTAATTTTACTAGATGTTATATTGTCCCAATAATTATTGCGATAAATGATATTGTTTTGAGCCCGTTTTCAAGTGATATATTTGTAATATGTTCTAACTTTATTTTGTAAAAACACTTAAAACTGGAGGATATTTTACATTTCCAAAATGAAGTGCCACACCCAAAAACAATAAATAAAATGGGGGAAAAGCCACTTACACCCAAAATCAGAAACAAAATTTTCCTTGAAAAGATTTTAATCATCAGAATATAAATTATTGAGCTCATTTAAGTGTGCATTGTGACAGGCTTAACTAATTTTAGTTGCACTAGCTTGACCTCTCTTTTTTTTTCCAGTAAATTTGAAAATTATTTCTACTCAAGAATTAATTGTTGCTTTTAAACTAAGAAAAAAAAACCATCTTGACATTAACTAGTATCAAAGTAAACTAAAGGTTTCAGACATTTAAAAAATTTCCAACACCCATTTTAATTATTTAAAGTCCTTTTAATGAGGGATAAGAGAGATAAAGTATGCATCTGTTGCTGTGCACTGACAGTCAGATGTCTGAAAGAAGGCTACTAAAAATGTCGAAAACTAGCATATTTAGCAAATATTTTGTTGTTTTGTTTATGCCAATCAAAACAAATGTATATCAAAATATTAGAAGTGTAATAACTGTTTTGAGTTAGCTGCAGTAGTAATACATTTCTAGGGTCTGGATAGGAATAATATATTTAAATCAAAATAAAATCAGTTCTTGGTTCTTTATTTTCTTAAAGCAATGATACTGGGATAATTTGACTCAAGGTTATTATACAATTATAGCAGACCAAACCACAATCCTAACATATGCAAGAGATGTTAAGGCAAAATATGACAATATATAACTAGAAGAACTAAAAGTGGCAACACAAATTCAGACAAATTGTTCCTATTTGCGTTAATGTATGCTTCTTCGTGTTACAAATACACCATTACGACGTTTTGACTGCTTATTACTTCATTCTCACTTTTTGACAGGACTAAGAGCAAATGTATTTACAGGATAATGACGGCAGGTAAAATTTAAGATCATTTAATGAATGTAAAAATAGGGATCCATGTTTTTAGAAAAAACAGGGGGCAGAGAATTGGGGGGGGAACAGGAGGAACCAGTTAAACTGCTGACATTTTTAAAACCTGACGTATTTGGAATACTCCAAACACACACTCAAAGACTGTGATGTAAATATATTCAAGCAGACGTAATTTATTTTAAGAGCACTTTACAGATTGAAAAGTCAGGAAGAAGAGACTGGTTCCCTTTAAAAGCTCTGCAGCAGCTGTTTTTATGTAGACAAGCCACATTCAGTGACTGTCAACATCGTTTGTCGAGCTGTTTATATCGTCCTCCACATCCAGCCTTTATTCCAAGCATAAGGAAACTCTGCTTTTGCTCTGCTTACTTGTCAGACTGTCATTCTGCTCTTATTAGCTCCTTAGCTTACCAGCTAGCTCTCCTAGCTTGGTGAAAAACGACCTTCCGCTGTTTACGTGCCGCACAGCTAGCTTCCTTCTGTCGCAACAGTTTTCACATTGAGCGCAGGCTTCGAGCAAAACACCTAAAAGTCCTTGATAAGCTGTGTTTTGGGTGGCCTTACCTGACAGCTGTGAAGTCAAAGCATGTTGAAAGACCAGGCTCAGTTTCAGTTAGCAGCTACGGCTCAGAAACCACAGAATAATAACAGTGCAGGCTCGGTTACGTCACCAGCCGGAGGTGGGAGCGAGCGCCATGGAAACAGGGCACGCCTGTTTCTATTTACAGCAGAGCAACAAGTAAAGATATACTAACTAAAGAATATAACTTTAAGGAAACTGGAGTTACTAGCCAGTCAAACTTCGTTCAGTGTAAATTGTTGCTTTGCTGTTTTGCTTTAAACACAAGTGGGTAGCAGCTAGTTACATTTACAAGACTAACTTTTTTGGGGGAAAAGTTTTCTTTTAAATATTAAATCAGATGTTATGATTGATTAATTTGAACCATTTTTCAAAAAAACAGTTTCTACCAATGGAACGGTTACTTTTGCTTAAGTGAAAAATATGTTGAGGTTTGCTGGGTCCAATTTTCAATTTTCTCTGATAGTAATAGCTACATTACTTGAGTAATACTATTTAAAAGTAACCCTACTCTGGAGAACAATTTCTGGATGCTCTACCCATCTAAGAGCGACTTTTTTGAGCTTTACATCATGTTATGGATGTTTGATTAATCTCCCATGTTGTTAACGGCTTAATGGAGAAACATCCTGAAGGCAGAATGTCAGAAAGTAAGTATTTAAGCCTCCTTTAGTTGGGGAGGAAACGTTTCTTTGGGATAAGTACAGGAAGATATAAAATAAAATAAAAATCCTAAGTAACATAAATTTTTAATAATTTTTGCTCCTTGCAGAGTGAAAGATTTGAAGCATTTATTTGCTGTGATTTTGATTATTATGGTTTGCAGACAATGAAAATTCAACATGCCAGAAAATAATGAAAAACAAATATTTCAAAACAAATTTCAGAATTCTAAAATTTTTATTTCTATGCTACTAATGCTTATTCCTTTTCCATGAATCAGTTCACAAAAGAACCTGGCTCCTCAGAGGCCCGTTTCCAAGCATGTTTATAGAAAGTTAAGTGGAAGGAAAACGTGCACCAGTAACAAGAACGATCAATGGTAAATATTATTATGACATAATCTTTAAAAGAAAACTTGTAGAAAATGAGAATCTGCAATGCAAACAATGGAAAACAAAAAAGCCTGTTACACAAAAATAGTGCTGCCAAACGAATAACTGATGATAAAATGCAGTGAGAACCATGCAGAAGTTATCCTGCAGTATTTGCAAATGCACACCACTTGAATCTTTTCATATTTTGTCCTTTCACAACCACAACCTTCAATTTAATTTTGGGTTTTCAATACAATAAACCAAAAAAAAAAACATCAATATTTATTGGAGTGTCTTGTTGTCACACAGCAGCAGATATTCCCTTACAGAGTCAGGAACGTTCAGGTCACACACAGCTGAGTGACAGCGGGCTCCTAAATGCTGACGCACAGCACAACGGCAGAGATGCTGCAAGGATCGAGGCTGAGTGCTCCTCTGACGCAGCGAGCGGAGAAACAACAGGTGCTCCTGGGAAAGCTGCAGGCAGAAACAGAGACATGAGAGCAAACGACCAGAGAGCGGATTTAACACCTCAGAGAGCTCACCGTGTCAGGAGGCAGAGAGTCTGACCAATCACAGGGCGGGATGGATGTGTACGAGTTCAGCATCACGCCCAGAACATCAGGATACCAGGCCAGCTGTTTCAGCATCTGGAACAGATCGAAGTTCAGTCAATTCATAAACCTGACACAGCACCAGATGAGGTAAATAAACCCTTTTTATTTCTGTAAATATGCCAAATAAGGGGAACAATCTGTTTCCTTGTGAAGCTTTTTTAATTCTTTATTTTTTCAGAAATACAAATTTACAACTTAAAGGGATAGAGTTATGTATTTTCTGGTCACATTGCCATTTTACAGCACAATCAAGTAAGTATGTTGCCTTGAGATGCTATAGAAATGCTGTAGATATCAAATATGGCTTAAAAGAAATTTGAATTCATAATTTAGCATCTTTAAATTGGTCCTCTGTCTCTTTAGGAATCTCCAGCTCTTTCTGAAACTCCGCCTTCAGGAAGTCATTACAACTCCTCAATTAACTCTTAAACAATATTTTTACCAGCCTTGCAGAAATAAGTTGCTGGTACAATAAGCAGATACGCAATTCCACCAGGTGTCTACTAATTGTTCCTGGCTAGTCTGAAGGAGCGGAGAAGGGAAGGGCTGCTCCATCAGGTGGAGACATTTGGGCATTCCCAAAAACATACCAATGGTCCACCCCTGAACGCCACACAGCCTCCAACAATTAGCACCAGTTGGATCATAATGTGGTTTTTGCTTTGGTGTTATAAAAATTCAGGGTTGCCAGTAAAGATTCAACAACTTAAAATAAGTCATTTGTTAATTTATCTATAATATGTGGATGCAAAACTGGTTTTAGAGTTTCATAATATAATCCAAAGAAGGAAACTGGTGGAGCACTAGACTCGTAAAGTTTGGAGAACTGTCAGTCTTCAATCTGAGGGAATAAAAGATGACTTGAGAGTTTTTAAGAATCAGAAGCAAAGGTCTAAATTTTAATTTGGTTTTTCATGAAAATAAAAAGCAGGCATGCATATTTGCTTGTATATCAGCTCAGTGTTGGTTAAACCTTCGGTGAAACAGGTTTCGCTCCATAGTTCAGAAGGGATCGTGCTATGGCTTCAGACTGCTGAGTCGGGTAATCTTCCACAACCTTAAAAAACAGCAACAAAAACAGGGTTTATGCTGCTTTCTGGCTTAGAATTAGTATCCATCTCATCCCGGCTGTTATGCAAACAGTGTGTACCTGCAGCAGACAGTCCATTGGTGTGTATCCTGCACAGTTCTCAACATCAGCCTTCGCTCCATGCTGCAGGAGGACGTCTACAATCCTGCAGCAGCAGTTTGCGCAGGCATTGTGCAGCGGGGTGTGTTGCTTCCTGCCTGCAGTCTGGGGATTAGCTCCTGCATCCAGCAGCTTCTGGATCACACGGAGGTATCTCCCAGCTTCGGACGGCCTCTCGGCTCCAGAGCAAGCAGCATTCAGGGGCGTCTCTCCCTCTCGGTTGGTGGCTAAAACATCGGCGCCGTGGCTGAGGAAGAGCTGGACGTGCTCCTCCAGGCCTCGCTGAGCTGCCACATGCAGAGGGGTGAGCCTCGAGTCCCGGCTTCGCACGTTGATGTCTGCGCCTCCTTCTAAAAGCCGCTTAGCACAGCTGGGAAACAGTCAAATCCTGATTATTTATGCATTAGAGTTTTTCTTAACATTAGACACAAAAGTGATACCATGTTTACCTGCTCCTGTTTTTTTATGGTATAAAAATATGAGACCATAAATCACTTTGAAACTTTTCCCTGCATAAGTGACATACATCCTGTGCAATTCAATTTAAAAACAGTCAAATATGTTAGGGGAAAGTAAAAATGAAATCTGCACAACAGTAAACACATTTTCTTTGATTCAGTTTTGATGTTCAATCTTCTTGGGATCAGTATCCCACACCTTGATTTGATAAAAAGTTATGAAGTCAAAACTTTCCAAACATTCTCACATTTCCTCACATTCACAACTAAAATTTGATAGACGTGAATCAATTTCATTACTTCATAAAAACAGTTATTCTTTTGTTGATTTGGTTGGATGTTTGAACTGATTCTGTTGTACAAAAATGAACTGTTCGTCCAGCTTTTGAGCAAACAACTGGATGTTTTAACAAAAAGTGAAAAGTAACCCCATAACATGATACTGGTTTAGTGCTTTTTCCCCTTGTTCTTATCAAACAGTAACAGGTCATTAACCCAAATGATGCTGGAAGATTTTTGCATTCCTGGATGTTTTTCTCAGAAAAAAGCTCTATGCTTTCTCACTTTATGGAGGAAATATTACTTTTGAAGCTCAAATCTGCACTGTGCCATGAAGTAGGAATGTTTGTGATATTTGCGCTAATCTATGATGTTAAATGTGACTTTTTAGCAATTACCATATGAATCACAGACTGAAATTTAACATCAAGTAAGGCTGACCAATGTTTTTGGCCAATTTTTAGAAATATTTGCAGTAAAATTCAGAAGAAAATATGGGCATATGTAGCTTTTGTGTGAATTTTCCTGATTTGTGAAAAGCTGAAAGGATTAATTGATGGAATTTGGAGTCTAAAGGGCCACATGAAAAGCTACGGCGGGCCAGATTTAGTCCCTGGGCCTTGATGCATGTGATTTACAGTATAATCGGTTTGACCACTCACTGGAATGACTGGGCAGAGGTACAGAGGTGAAGAGGAGCACTGCCATCTGCTGCCAATAACTGAGCACTTCAGGATCTGCTCCATGGGAGAGCAGCAGCTGGACGCAGACAGGGTGACCACCTATGCAGGCGTCGTGGAGCGCCGTGTTGCCTCCAGGGTTGGCGTTCACCTCAGCACCACGAAACAGCAGCTCCTCCACACACGCCGTGTGACCCCGGCTGGCAGCCAGGCGTAAGGCCGATGTTTGTTTCACCTTGGAGCTCAGCGTCCACATGCCTGATGAAAACAGCAGCGTTACTGGCATTGCTATCACTTAAATTAACAATATAAACTAAAATAACTGAGGCATACCCATTTCTGGAGCCCACACCATCTCCTCATGCACCGTCTCCATCAGGGCGTTGACCATTGCAGGGTCTTTCAGCACAGCGTAAACTCCCTTTATGTCTCCGCACATGAAGGTGTTGTGGATGCTGGTGTCTCTGCAGCGGTTCTGGGGTGGAGAGGCTCTGACCTCTTGGAGCCGCTGCTGCCTGGGAGGGAGTCGGGGGGCCCGAGGCAGCGGAGGCCGGATCATGGCTCTCCTTTGAGCCAAAGCTCGCCGTTCATCCTCCCAGTCCTGGAGCTCCTGCTCCAGTCTGAGAGAGCGTAGTGAGGTAGAGGAGAATGGGAATGTGTCCTTGGACATAACACCCTACAATTAATCCCATACAGTAAAACCAATGAGAGCATGGCAAACAAACAGGAATTATTAACTCTATTCAAACCCCTTGCGTATAAGAGATGAGCAGTGTTGCTTATAGAAATGTAAGCAAAGAGCTTTCACTCACCCTCTAGTGGAAATGAGTTTCTATGGAATCCAAACAAATATAAAGCAATTTACAAAAACTGGATCCATTTCTGCTATAAGTTAAACTCATACAAAAAAAGAAATCCTTCTGAATCAAATGCCCTTCATTTGTGCACAGTCACAAGATAACTGCTCAAATAAGTTCAACACTGGATATTTTTAGATCAGAATGCAAACTGATACTCGCACTATTTAATGTCACCACTAGATGGCAGCATTAGCCTTACGTATAAAAAGCAGAGCACAGATGTTGACATCTAATACGCCACAAAGGACGAAATGAACTGAACTTAGTAATTCATAAAGCAGCTTACCATTTTTACTTATTCATTTGTTTACTTCAGGCTGGAAAAAATGAATCAAAGAAGAGTAAAATGAAGACGTGACAGTAATAACGATTGTCATCAAGTAAAAAGCTAACGACTAATAATTTGAAACCCCGAAATACGGAAGAATTAAAAAAAATTACCCTCCTTATATTCGGAAACAACGGGCTTTTGAGAATTATTATTTTTTGACAGAAGTTCTGTAATCTTAAAAGTTTGCGCTTAAATACGAACAGAGTATTCTAGATGTTAGAGAAGCTTTTTTAGCTAACCGACGCTACCTGAAGGAGCAGAGAACCCTCTTGACCGACGTCAACTGAATGCGTGAGTGCTCGTGACGTCAGCGAGTCGCGTTCGAACGTAATGGCGGGGTACCAAGAAGTAGCAAGCTGAAGAAAAGTTGCCTTCTGGTCAATACTGCTTAGTAATTTTAAAAAAGAAGAAGTTTTGGGGACAAAAACGACTCTCATTATCTGTCATTTATTGAATGGCATTCGATTTCAGTTTGGTGTATTTATCTGAACTCAACAGACTCGGCTTTCATCGTGATATTCCTTGACTGCTATGGTGAGTTATACTCCATCAATCTGAACAGCTAACTGAGTTAACAACAATGCTAGTGGATAGTTTACGTTTGTTAAACCCGTCCCTTGTTGTTTCTTGTGTTTAAATCGTTTGTCTCTCTGTTACAGACCTGCAAACTGAGCGGCCTCTTCAGCCTGGACGAGGACTTTGATGATGAGGTAACACACCTGATTCATATGTCCGATTATCAGTGTCCTCTTTCCATTCGGTGACCTGCTGACCTCTGTTTGCTTCCTGTTGACCCAGGACGTGCTGGGCAGAGACTGGAGCCCTTGTTCGGTAGCAGGGCCATCCAAAGCGGCAGCTGCGGTGCCATCCTGCAGCCTGCGGGCTTCTTCTGTCTCTCACAGAGACCAGGAGAAAACATGCCATCAGCCAACGGGAGAGAAACTGGCTGAACTGTGCAATGGCGCCGTGCACAGTGGTGCTGCACAAACTGTTGCTCAGGGGTTGAGGCAGATCTCCTCTTCCTCCGCTTCCTCTAACACAGCCTGCACAGCTCAGGATGATTTTGATGACTGGGACATTGACCTGGCAGACCTGGATGAATGTGACAGTCAAACAAGGCAGCTTTCGACACCTGCCGCAGCTGAGCCTCCATCTTCAGTGAAAACACTGAGGCCTTCTACATATGTCACAATCCAAACGCCTCCTACTCGGAACCTGCGGGACACTTCTAGCTACTGTAGCTCTATTGCAGCTCCACAGAATCTTTCTTCTGCACATCTGCAGCCTCCGAGTACCAGTTGTGCTTCATTCCCTGCAGCTCCTCCACAGCCTCAAAGCAGCTTTTTCAGGATTCCTGCTGTTTCCCCGGCACCCAGCAGCTTTTCCAGGATTCCTGCCGTTTCCCCGGCACCCAGCAGCTTTTCCAGGATTCCTGCCGTTTCCCCGGCACCCAGCAGCTTTTCCAGGATTCCTGCCGTTTCCCCGGCACCCAGCAGCTTTTCCAGGATTCCTGCCGTTTCCCCGGCACCCAGCAGCTTTTCCAGGACTCCCAGCCATCCTCAGCAGCTACAGAAGCCGTGGATGACTCCACAAGCCACCTCTCAAGCTCGAAGTCTCTTTAATATGGTCTCCCCGGGGCCTCCCGCCTCTGTCAACTCCTCTGCCTTGAGCCCACATCCTCTGCACACACCGGTCCTCACCAACCGCCTGGTCCAGCTGGTGTCTGCGTCCAGCAAACTTCCCAGGAAGAGGCAGCGCTCCGAGGCACACCAACCCCAAACAAGACGCTTCCCTGGTCCTGCAGGCCTGCTGCCGCAGCAGGTTGGCTCCTTTTCTGATGTTTTGTTTTTCATAACTTGTTTTTAAAGGCGTATGAGCTTATTTTCTCCTCTCAGCCTCAGGGTCAGAATCTGGACGAGATCGTGGTTTCCGTTCCTAGCACTCCTTCTCATGGGGCTGTGGCTCGACTGCAGAGTCAGGTAAAGAAAACCCCACAGGCAAACCACTGGACATATCAATACAAAAAGCAAGCAACTTCTAAATAACTTGTGTTGCAGAAAGTGAAAACTATTCCCTCAAGCTAATAGAATTAAACATTTCTCTCCAGCCTGCAAATATTCCCACTGGAGGAAACCCAAATCTTGCACCATTTAGAAATTTAATTAAGTTGATTTTGGATTAATGTTCTTTTTAGCGCCTTATAAATGAACTGATTGCAGCAGATATAATTTGGTCAGTGTTTACAATGGGGCATGACCAGATTTTCAATATTTGCTGTAATTTATTGCTTTTATCTGTAGAATAGAGCTGCACTACACAGTGTTTCAAATTATTATGCAAATTTTCTCAGATTTTTCTAAATGGTCAATGCAAATGATGGTCAGTTCAATTTTCAAGTCGTGAACTATTACAGTATAAATCAAATTTTACTGAACAAAGCTCCCCATGAGAACAGTATTCTTTTCAAAAAATAAAAAACTCAAAATCCACTGTTCCAAGTTATTATGCACAGCAGAGTTTCTTACATCTTATGGATTATAAAGAACTGCAAACGGTCATTCTTTGAATGTGCAGCATGAAGTGGTCACATGCACTAAAATCAAAAGCTAATTCAACCAAAAACATCTTAACAGACAGAGTTACATGTTAACATAGGACCTTCTTTATATCACCTGCACAATTCTTGCCTCCATTGAACTTGTGAGTTTGTGGAAAGTTTCTGCTTGAATTTCTTTGCAGGATGACAGAAAACCTTTCCAGAGCTGCTGTTTTGATATGAACTGCATCCCACCCTCAAATCTTCTGCTGGAGGAAACTCCAAAGGTTCCCAATAGGGTCAGAGGTCAGAGGAGGATGGTGACCCCACCATGAGTTTCTCCCCTTTCATGCCCATAGCAGCCAATGACAGAGTGGTGTTCCTTGCAGCATGAGATGGTGCATTGTCATGCATGAAGATGACAATCAGTCAGCTCAGTCAGAAAGTCCATGTACTTTGCTGAGGTCATTTTCACACCTTAGGGGACTCTGAAGGGGCCGACCAGCTCTCTCTCTCCCCATGATTTGGGCCCAAAGCATGACTCCACCACCTCCTTGCTGACGTCACAGCCAAATTGGGACGTGGTGGCCATCTACCATCAATCACTACTGCGTCCATCTGGACCATTCAGGGTTGCACAGCAGTCATCAGTGAACAAGTCTGTTTGAAAATGAATCTTCATGTCTGGCTGGGCCCACTGTGACCGTTTCTGCTTGTGAGCTGGTTAGGGGTTTCTATTAAGATATAGTCTGGATTAATATCAGCAAATGAGTTCTAATGCAGACTTGTTTCTAAATTTGTTTTTGGGTTTCCATGCTTAGGTTTGATCTGCCTCATTTATTGTTTTCCCTTATAGATAATAACCACAACATAAAGGCATTCAGCATCAAAATGATTTAAAATCTGCTTCAGTAGAGTCTTTATCTCTGTGGATATATATTTCTTTCCTTTTGGGTGTTTGTCAAACTTTCTTTATCACCTACTGCTGAATGACTGCTCCATGCTTTCATTGCATTCTGGGAAATTGCTGCTTTTAAGTTGTTGTTCTCCTCTGTCACAGCTGCTGATCTGCTGTTTTTCCCCATCATCAGCGGTAGCCTGTGTCCGCGCTCTGCACGGCGCGACGTCCCTTCTGACTGATTAAGAACATTTTCTTCCTCTTTACAGCACAGAGGATGTAAACAAAATGATTTTTTTTTTCTAAGCATTTCCTAACCAGTCCAGTTCCTGGTTCTGGTTTGCAGAACTGGGCTGTTTGGTTTATCAGATTTCATTTCCAACTACAGTTTTGGCCTCTAACTGTAATGAAATTAAGAGTCCTGCTTTGTGTTTCACTGCTGAGTCATTACGCATTTTTGTAATATTAATTTTCTTCTATCTTCAAGGCTGTCCTGTGTTTACTCAGACCAAGGGGATTTTTCAGTTATATTGCTGTCAGGGTTTAATGAGAATAATAATGAGTCAAAAAAAAAAACAATCTTGCTTAATTTATTTGTGGTCCCACAGGCCAGTAGTTCTGAACAGAAACAGTTTTAAGATTATGGCTAATTAACTGGAGTGCAGTTTTAGTACAAAGTTGTTCTGATTGGTGAATTGTTTTCTGACTCTATAGGTTGTGATAAATCCAATTTATTTCTCTCTTTCTAATCTATCACTTTGATGCTTTCATCTCTTCTTTAGCATCTGCAACAAATATCTGCCTCAGTTGGGGGTTTACTGCAGTGAGATTCATCCAAAAAGTATTAATATATTAGTAAATAAAATGGAATTGGTGACAGTGGAACTTATAACCATCCTTTGCAATCTTCTGCACACTGATGAATTTGATATTTTGGGCTAAATACAAATCATATGACACAAACAAGTTCATATTGTTTGGTGTCTGTAAAATGAACCATTTCAAATCCTGCGGTATGTAAAGTCACAACTCAGCAGTCACTGCTCGTCACGTGGCAACCCAGTCTGAGGTCCAAGCACGTTTGATCAGCTGGTTTTATATCTGCACAATGTCTGCTGGAACTTACCCTCCAGAAACCACTTACTGCATTCTCGCTGGTTGTGCAGGAGGCTCCACTTCTGCTTTACAAGGACGTACAGTTGTATAACTGCACATCTGTTTGCAGTCATTTTTATGTGTGAGCGTAAACATTGAGTTGGGGTGTGTGGCCAGCAGCAGTTTATTTGGATTTAAAGTGACAGGAGATCCTAAAGTAGCTCATTGTGTTATGATCTAACAGTGATTTTGTGCAAAAAAACTGTAATAAACATGTTCCAAGTTGCCCATAGACCCATCCTAACCTGTTCATGAAAGCATCCTTTAACTCTCTGTGTGTTGGTCTACATCTGAAAGTTGGAAAACTTTCAGATTTACAAATACTTCTGAAAGGCACTGAATGTGTCTCGTCATTAAGGACGCTGTCCCTTCTGTCGTTCCAGTGTTCCAGCTCACAGTCTGAGGAAGAGGAGTTCAGTGGCTGCGCCTGGGCGGCGATGAAGGCTGAGATGGGACTGGATGAGAGAAATCCGTCGTGCTTCCTGCATACCTACAGTGTCGTCATGGTGCTCCGAAAGGTAGCGGACTCCTGTACTTCCTGTCAGCGCTGCTGAGTATTTAGGTCAAGCGTTTTTTAACAATGATTCATCATCTATAATAACAGCCTGTGTGACAGCTGGGGGTCTATTGGCATAATCAAGACAAACGACGGCGCAGCTCTTGAGGTGTTTTATGATTATAAAAAGTATGATCACTAATCAGTCACACTAATAGAGACTCTGCTGCAGCTCTGTTCCCACTGTGAGTAGAAACCACTGGAGGCAGCGTCTGAATCTGAGCGCACATGTCGGCCTCTGCAGCGGCCCTCCATTCACATGCGAGTACAGAGTCACTGGGAGGATGCCGGCTGAGCTTGATGAGGTTAAGCTCCTCACAATAATATCAGCTTCCCAAAATCTGTGTTTGCATCACTGAGCAAATTAGCGCGCAGCTTGAGCTTGTTCCATCTAATGAAGTGGAAAGAGAGGATCATCCCAGCGGTAAATCCTGCTCAGATCTGCGAATTTATATCAGGACATCCTTATAGCTGCTGTTTGTGTTAATGAATCAACAGTGAAAGCAGTGATATTTAAGGCAGAGGTGATTAAGATGCTCACTCAGTGGATGTGTTAGAGGAGATGAAAGCAGGAGGAATTAAAGGGCCGGTTTTCCTTGCAAGCAATTTGTCACACTGACAAAACCTCTCAGCGTAAATATGAAGTAAATAAAGCCGCAGCAGCACCTGAGGAAATGTTGAGACAAATCAATCACACGCTTCTGAACTTCCAAATGTGTCTTCGCTCTGATCAAGGAAAGGAATCACAAGAACACAGACTCAAAATAATTTCATCGGCTTTAATTAATTGGCAGATCAGGTGGTGATAAATCTGCTCTCCCCTTTTATATCTTAACAAATGGCATAAACTTTGATGCTACTATTTAATCTAACAAAGATATTATTATAATTGGATATTAAGAAATATAACATTAGGTATGGGCAATGTGGACCGTTGAAACATTTATTTTTAGGCTCTGTATGCATGGCACAGCATTCGCAGCACCAAAAACAAATATTTTTCTTAAAAAATATTTCCATTTATACTGTTTACTGAAAAAAGTGTGATTTATTTCATTCTAAACTGCACACTATCATATTTTCAAATTTATTGATTCTCTCATGGAACAAGCAGTGGAAAATAAAAACATTTCTGGTCATTTTTATTTATCATCCGTCACTGAAATTTATCACAATTACAATAAATTAAAATTCTTATAAATTTTTCACAGTAAATACTAAACAATGCATTACATCCCCAACCCTACATAATCTATTGTTTACTAATTGTATTAGTTGAAACATTTTTGGAACTGTTTATTAAAGAAATTGCCTGACTGCGACCCACAAACACAAATAATGCTCTGTGAAAACATTCTGTTTCTGATCAGCTTCCTTTGGACACAAGTCACAAAGAAATGCGATTATTATAAACTGCATTTAATCTCATCTTCAAATTTATCAATAGTTTCTTTGAAGAAATAGTGAATAAGATAATAAAACTAACGATCCCTGACATTGCAAACAGTTTTAATCATCCTTAACTGGAATTTCTTAGGACGACGATAAATGATAAACAAAACATGAATCAAGTTTGAATTGTTCTGGTTTCTAAAAGCCTTTTTAGGGTTGTATAACACATGCAACATTAACAGTATGTGAACAGGAAACATTAACCTGTCTTCTTTTTAAAGCCTCAAGGAAAAAGAAAGTTAAAATGTTTGATTTTTCTTCTTGTCCAATCAGGCTGCTCTAAAACAGCTCCCCAGAAACAAAGTGCCCAACATGGCTGTTCTGCTGAAGAGCATCATCCACACGAACGCCGACGCTAAGGCTGTTTTTAAAGACCCAACAGGTAAAACACACAGAAACATTTTATTTGAAGAAATGTCATATCATGTCATAAACATGCTATAACACCTGTTACAAACATGAAGGAGTTTTCATGACTGTTTGTGACATGAAGCGTCATTTAGTAAATAATGAGCCTCTTAATGCAAATTTGCATTAAATGTTTCATTACAAGTGCATTAAAAGTGTCAACTTATCATTATTTTGTAAATAATTACATGTTTATACAAAGTTACATTAAAAGAGTCAGCTTTGCATTAAAAGTGTCATTATGTACCAAATGACACTTCATGTTTATCACTGTTATGTCAGGTTTAAGTCTGTAATGTCAGACTTATGCACACTGCTTCAAATAAAGTGTTACCAAATATTATAAATCAAATCAGGAGTTTATGTGAAATGTGAAACATGTTCTTTTGGGAGTTGTTGAATCTGGAGAAACACTGAAAAACACTCATTCTGGTTTAAAAACCAAAAGAAGAGATTTCAACCCACAGGGAGAGCAGTGAGATGTTTTGTTTTTTGTTTTTTTTTTCCCTCCCCCACTTTTGACATTTGCTCTTGGAGCATTGGCCTCGCTCCACGTGGCATTGACAGCAAAAGTTCAGCTGCTATAACAAGCTTGGCTGCACACACACACTCATGCATGCAGGGCACATGCAGGCCAGTCCACGTGTCCCGCGTCTGCAGCAGGAAGCTTCCGAATGTCCTGAACTTGTCCCCTCTCCTGCGCCGTCCGACTCCTTCCTCTGATCCAACGCACAGCCTGTTGCCATGGGCTCCTGAGCGCTGCCGCATACGGTGGAGCTGATTATCAGCAGGAGTGGATGTTTTTCAGCTCTGGACCTAAGTGCCTATTAGTGATTCAGTTATAGTGGACCGGCGTCGGTGGTGGGTGGGTATTAGGTGCTTCTGACACCAAGAGTGACTGTTCCTCTCCGTAATGAGCCTCCCGCCCACTGGAAGCTCTGCAGCCTGTTTCCATAAGAGCCGCAACATTTTCTCACTCCTACAATCTGATTTCTAATAGTAGGAATGTAATTCTCAGTTTTCAACTAAATAACATCTCGGCGCCTTCAGCTGCACAAATATCATTGTGGAAGTGGAAAGTAACAGCTTGTTGTAGGTCAATGAAGTTAAAATATAGTATAAGAAATAAAATGCAGAAAAAGGATTTTTGTTTTGACATGCTTAAAACAAAATGTCAGACAAATGTAACCCAGGTTTTTATGCGTTTACTGACAAACTATATCAATCTGTTCCTCTAGTTTCTTGAGAATTATTGTGGAAATTCACGTAAAATCAACAAATCCCCACACTTTTTAGTGCTAATAAATAACTGGGAGTTCATAGCAGATTTTTCTCAAAAATTGTCAAAAAAGTTTCATACTTGTACTTAACAGCTGCATTAGCATTAATCGATGTCAGATTACAGTCCATCATCTATCCATTGAGTGATAAAAAGTTGTATTTATTATCATAAATAAGTGCAAATATTTCCAAATTAGTACAAGCAATTAGATTTTTTATTTATTTATTTTTGCTAAAAATTGCAAAAAGTATCACAAAATCCTGAGGAACTGAAAAGATATTCAATAATATTTAATTTGAAGAATTTATTGGTGTTTTAACAGTTTGTGAACAGAGTTTATCAATACATTCTGGTGCAACTGGCCCTTTGAGAGCCTTTAGGATCTTGATTTGGCCCAAAATGAATTTGACACTGCTGATCTAAAACAAAGGATGCATCAGCAGTTAAAAACAGGCTTCTAACATCGACTGTTACATTGAGTAATATTTTCTATTATCAGACATGGTGGCGGTGGTGTCATGATGTGGGGAAGCTGTGCTTCTTCAGGACCTCATCAACTTGCAGTAAACTTTAAGCTCTCTGTTATGACCTCTATGTAATCATTGTCCTGCTGATATTTTTCTCTAGAGCTTATATTTAGAGTACAGTTCTGTAAAGCAGTTTCTTCAGGGTGGCTAGAGGAAATCCAGATTGTGCTCTGGATTTTTGCTGATGTTTTCCACCCAGCAGCCAAGAAAAGTAAAATCTGAGAGAGATCAGCTGGTGAAAAAGCAAATCTTCCTGAGCTTTCCCAGCAGGAGAGCAGCTGCTCCTTCATATTTCTGGGGTCTGGTGGATATGTTGCCTCTATGCATGGCTGTAATTCTCAGTCATTGAGGAGCTGAAGTGTTTCAGAAAGGTATTTCCACGCGCTCGATTTCTAACAAAATCCTCATTTTAGAGCAAATGTTCAATTGAAAATGTCCCGCTGTGAAAAGCTGTCTGCAGCACTTATTGTAAAGGCCAGAAACAATTTGTCACTGTTTTTCTGAACATTTCTTTGTCTTAATGCATGAAATTTTCTCTTTTTTTCCCCCCTAAATTCATCCATATTTAGAAAGTTTAATATTTGTGTTGTGCTTGTGTGGCTGAATAAGTATCAGAACAGCAGAATAGATTTATTTTGCATATTCTTTTGGCTTCTTGTAGCTCTGTTATCTTTCTACATCTGATTTACGTCTCATCTCATCTTTACAGTTGAAACCAGAAGTTTCTCATCACTTGGCATTTACCAAAAGCCACAATGAAAGAGAAGAGAAAACAAATACATTTTAAATGAATAGAATAGGTTTTTAAGGACACATAAAAAGCATTTGAATGATCTCTTTTAATGCCAGTATGTGTTATTCATTTATTTATTCTTTATTCTGACATACACGTTTATTTCTACTTGTTTGCTTTCTTTTCCTTCCCAAATATATCTCTGATTCTATTTTAATCAGAGAGCAAAAAAAATACTGAAAATTATTAAAAGATTAAAACAAAAAGCGTATTCTTATCCACATGTTTATCAATTTAATTTTTGTTGTGACACTAATTGATGATCTGTGTTTTGTTTTATTTTCAATGTATTATTTAGACTTTTTTAATTTATTGCTGCTACTCATTCTGTTATCTGGTTAATTATTTTGTAGATCAATACCACTTCTTGCTTTTTGCCAGTTTGTAATGTTTTTGTCACATACGCACTAATTGGTGAATTTAAAAAGACATCAGTGATCAGATTTAGCTAATTTTCTCTTGATCGGCTTCTGATCTTTGATGTATTTAGTTCAAATCTGATTCCCTTCCACCCTCCAGTTTGATATATCAAAAGTAATCATTGTCACTAGTTGTGAATTTAAGCACTTCGACTAACAGCATTTTGTTAGAAGAATAAAATCTGAGTGTAAGCTTTGCTTTACAAATGGGAGATGATTGCATTTGAAATTCCTCCATTTATTTATTAATTTCTTTGTTTGATTTAAAGCTACTGCCTCTATCAAAGCAACGGCAGCACATTTTCCTCTTTTTTTGATCATAAACTTCTTTTCATCTTGTATGATTTGTGGCTAAAGGGGAGATTCAGGGAACGGTGCATCGGCGTCTCTTAGAAGAAAGATGTGAGGAGTTAAAAGCCGGAGCTGTGCTGCTCCTCAAGCAGGTGAGACTCGTTAGAAAACGCTTCATGTGCTTGACCTGAAACTGATTGCAGCTATTAATAATCAGTTTGGCTTTCTTTTGGTGAACAGGTGGGTGTTTTTTCTCCATCCCATCGCAACCACTACCTGAATGTGACACCCAATAACCTGCTGCGGATCTACTCTCCTGCTGGGGTCAGTCTGTCCACTCAGCTCCCCCCGTTTGTCTTGGTGAGCACCGGCTGGGGACGGGAACCACAGCAAACCCATAAAACCATGTTTTAAAACCTTCCTCACAAGCTTTTAAACCCCGTTTGTCCGCCTCCTGCAGGAGCCAACGGTGTCGTCACCGACCTCGGCTCCAGCCGTCCCTCGGGAGCCGGTGTCTCTGATGCAGCTGGAGTTTGACGAAGAGGATGACGAAGGGAAAAAGGACAAAGGATGCACAGAGGGAGGCGAGGCACTTCATGTGCAAAGGATTTGTCAGGGGAACAAATCGGTTAACGGCAGCAGGAATCCAGCACAGCAGGAACAAGACTGGGACGCAGGTTGGACACGGATTATAAAACTCTGAGTTATGGGTGAAAAACAGAAATGTTCAGTGATTTCTGCCTAATCGTGATTCTGTAGGTCACCAACAACTAAACTTTGATGTGCTACTTTAAAGTTTCTCCTCTGAGCTACAGAAAGCCAGTGTAGGGACTTGAGAACTGGGCGATGTGCTCTATCGTTCTGGTTTTAGTCAGAACACCAGCAGCTGTATTCTGGATCTGATTGAGTTTTTTAGTCGGACCTGTAAATACACTGCTGCAGTAAAGATAAACATATGGATGAGTTTCTCCAGATCTTGCTGAGACGTTGTCTTCCAATCCTGAAAATGTTCTTCAGGTATCAGAAGGCCAACTTTGTAACTGTATTTATGTGACTCTGAACGTTCAGATTGTTTCCGGCTGTAATTCAGTGATTGGACGGATTCATCGTAACGTAGAGCTGTGCATCGTCCTCGTGTTTATGCTAGCTAATCTTGTTTCCTGTCATAACCTGAGCTGGTGAGAAACACAATACAAAGGCTCTGCCTCTGGATTTTTGTTGAGGAAAAACATAAAATGTGATTAATTCCATTAAAGATGTCTAAATGTTAAAATCTATGCTATTAATTCGTCAAACTTAACACATTAAAGTTCTGTCTGTATGCAAAGACTTTATGATACTTGGTATAAACAGGCAACAGCTTTTACACTTCAAACTTTTGCAACACTAATCCAAATGTATTGCAGCCCTAATTAATATGCTGGATTTCCAGGTATAAGGTGATTAATTTACCTGCATTGCTCCAGTAATTGAGCTAAACCTGGATGTTCCCATGGGCCAGTTGCTTCTCATCTAGCAGGTTTCATAGTCTCGCTGTGGATTCAGGTGTGCAGGATTTGTTCTATTGTCAGGCATATTTTTGCCCTCCAGCTCATGCCTGCAGGCTCACACATGCAGTTGTTTTATCACAATCACTGCATATGTTGCTGCCTGCAAAACAGCATTTGTGTGAGAAGGTAGTGTTCGCTAACCTTTGAATATCACAGCCTTCAAGCCAAAATATCAGTGCTCATCTTTAACAGCGGTCGCTGCACTTTATGAGCAGAAATGAAAAACTTTTTCTTTTTTTTCCCCCCTCCAATTACTTAATTCCAGGAATCATTGTTGCAGTTCTGATTCTGCTGTTTGTTTGCAGATGACGACCTGGACAAACTGCTGGGAGAGATACAGGAGGACGCCTACAGCTTTTGACATCAACTTTCCTGTTTTTCTGACGTCGCAATCCTTAAAATCAATTTTCAATGAACTTGTAACTAAATATGTATATTTTATGTTTATTTTGTTTTGCAGCCAATAATGCCTGTATTTATTTTAGTTAACATTCCAGGATGGATTTATGTATTGCTGGTTTTTGACGTCACCTCAAGAAATTTCACTACATCATCTTTCTTATACGACAGACAGAAAATTGTTCTGGTAATTATGCAACATTAAAGCCGTTTTGTTGCTGGTGTTTCTTGCATTTTTCCTCTCATGTAACACAGTGATGTGTCCCCTGACTGTCCCTTCCAGGGGCTCATTGATGGAGAGGCATTTATTCAGTCCTGTCTGCATCAGGGTGGAGCCTCACTGTGACTAACAGGCTCTTGTGGAGGGATTTCCTCCTCACGCTCTGAGTCCTGCACTACGTCTGGCTCACTGTAGCAGATTCAGGTTAATCCTCAGCTGCTTTGTCGTTCCAAGGAGGGAGAAGCAGCTCAAGTGTCCTATTTAATGTTTAAGAGGGAGAGGAATTGGATGATAAAATGTGTCTCGTCTGCAGTATATGCTCTTTGTTGGAAGGTGTTTGTGCATTTAAGCGCCTTCTGTTTGGAGCCAGTGTTTTATGAAAACACAAAGACTTTCATTGAGTCTCAGGTTGATTACAGATAAGCTCTGTTTTAAATGGAAGTGAAATCTGAACGTTTTCCAAAAGTTAAAGGTTTTATTGTTGCATTTCCCACCATAGTGATGTTCTATGGAAAACCTCCACTAAATTCCTTGGAATAATATATTTTATTGACATAACATTTTTACTAAGCACTGCTTGATTTTCAAAAATCAAGCAAAATTACAAATAGAACACCAAGGACATCACACAAAATCATAGAAGAACATTTAAATATATAGCACATAAAAAGTAACAGCATAACAAAAAAAATAAAAACAGGATAATGGTCAGACTTTCAAAACTGAATAAATGCATCTTAGAATGGATAATTTATTAAACTCCAACTATTTAGGTATAATTGAGTTACAGACAATAACTATAATAAAAAAAAGCAATTCAGTTTTCTCATGTAGTGCTAATTCATGAGTGAATAAATATACTTTGAAAAAGATCCAATTATATACATAAATATATAGTCCAAAAACTACATAGACTGAAGCCATTTTCTGACTGAATCAAGGAAATGCTACTTACCCTAAACTTGTCTTTATCTGCAGTCGGAGCAATAATGAATGAAGTTGTGCTGGATGGGAATAAGGGCAAAATAAATGGTGCTATTTGAGAGTTGCAATAATGAATAAACCGATCATTAGATGGTTTCTATGTTCTGAAGAGTTATTTGTGATGTTTTAAATGGGATTTTTAGCTTTTTAGCAGCAAACACTTCAGTTGGCTGAAAACAAAGCATGGATATGGAGAAAAGCCTTTTATCCCCGAGTCATGATGCTGTGGGCTAGCATGACATTTTAAGGAAAGAATTTCTAGAAAACTGGACAAATAAATGGTTCAAAAGACAAACCATACCTTCTTACATGGACAATATAGTCCCTCATACTTTATTTATTCTCACTTCTAGGCTGTTTGGTTTAAAATTTAAAAAATGCATAATTTATTGATTGAAAAGTTTGTTCTTTTGAAGATCATTTTTCAAAGAGGCCAGTGAATATCAACAATGTACTTGAAATTTTGACTTTTTGACAAGATGAGTCTGAGTATATGATTGGTATGAGACCAGAACTTTATCTTCAGTATATCTCTTGCATCATAACCAGCAGAGGGTAGCATTTTACACCCTCCTTTTTTACAGTGCAGGTCCTGGCAGGCCTCATTAGCCTGCTGATAAGCAGATCAGATCTGATTTAGAAATCTTTGAATTAGAAAGGATCTCCAAAGCTGTGTGCTTATGGAATTGATCCTGTATTTTATTGCAAGTTGGAGCAAATCTGCACATTTGATTAATTTACCTTTTGACCTTTTGAAAAAAAAAACACCTGCGCCCCATCTTGTCAAAATATGCATCATCATTTTTATTGTCAAGGTCATAATTTTCCATGAAAGCTAAACTGTAACTAGTCCAGTTTCATCACACATTTTGTATTGGTGCAGTCAGATGACACTCCAAACAAGTATTTGATTTATTGATATTTGGAATAACAATAAGAAAGCAGATTTTGTTCTTTTGCAAACTACTGTGAACTCCTTGAAATGGCTTAAAGAAATCCCACTGGCACCAATTACTTTTTAACAAGTCTCGGCTTTTCTGTTTGCTTAAATCAAGGGGCTGTGAAATGTGAAATGAAGAAAAAACCTGGATTTCAAATCATATGTATTTGTAGGGAAGGCCATAATAAACACAATAAAGTCTCTGTTACAGCTCAGAAGACTGCAACAAAAAATAGGGTTTGGGCCATACAGGTCTCAGCTCCCATAACTAGCCGAGTGACGGCTCACCACGTCTGGCTCCGGCCTTGGCTCTGCCTCCGGATCTCATCTGCGTCCGGATCTTGGGTCTCCATGAGTGGAACAGCCGCTCCTTAAATATATCCAAGTGGACACTTCATCATAAGCACCTCCCACAATCGAACCTGACTTAAAAAACAATTAACCTGACGTCACAATCTCAAATAAGTTGCTTTCCCGTTGTATTTCTGAGGTCATTAATATGTGAAGCTTTAAAATATGGATTACATTATGACAGCTTTCCAATAACAAGATTTAAAATGAGTGATCGATTACATTCTCTAAATGTCAATCAACATAAAGAAGTGTATTTCAGTGTTATTACCTTCCAAATTAAAAAGGGAAACAAAAAAAGAATGAAAATCTGGATCTATTAATCCTGTGGATGGAAAGTTATTTAGATAGATGAAAGCAGATAATATTACTAAAGCATTAGGCTTAACTTTGAACCCAGGAGATTGTTTAATCTCTGTAAAACTACGCTCATTACCGCAGTGGGGGGAAAAAAAGCAAGATTTGCTTAATTAAGCTGCAAAGAAACCAGCAAACCCTGCAGCTGTCTGGGAGCACAGTAAATTTGATTTGGGAAAAAGAATGTGTGATCGACAGACAATGTGTGAAAGAGTGTGTGTTGGATGCAGAAACACAGATTATCTTTAAACTTTCTTTACTTTTAATGAGGGCTTTGGTGTTCCTGCAACTGGCTGAACCCAGATGAAAAGTTCAAAGTGATGTAAAAAAAAACTCTAAAGCAGTTTTTAAAATCAGCAAGCGACGAGCAGCATTCAGTTTCCTCCTATTTATTGAAAGATTTTTTTCTAAGATCCATAATAAATATTGGTGTTATTGATTGTGCTTGTCACTTAAATTAATATTTATTCAGCTTATTTATATAATGCAAAGTTTGAAAGACGCACAAAACTTAGGTTAACCCAAGCTAAATTAATTCAATTCAGTTCCATATATCTTGAGATGCAATTATACAGTAAGTCATAAAAAACAGTCAGAATCAATGTCAACAAATAGTAATTTTCTTTTAGAAAAACAAGGAGCTGAATCCCTAGAGACAGGAAAGACTATTTAGATAAAATCATGTATACTCTCCTAGGAAGCTGAAGTAAGCCTGCTTTCTGAGAGCAAAGTGCTCTTTTGAACATATGAATCTGGGGAATTGCTTCAGACAATGTGGGTTGGTTTTAAAAATATCTGTTCTGCGTTTAACCTCTAGAAAATTGAAGAAACAGGATTTTCCCCCTGATTTTCAAAACAACTCACTGCACCATTTTGGATCCCAGTGGATTTTTACTCAATTTATTTTTCTGGATTGCTTGTGATAAACACCAGTCCAGCCTAAAAACTGGATATGTGTCTAGATCTCTGAACGATCCCAACCGCCATTGTTGTCTTTCTTCTTCTTATTCTTCTTCAGTTTTATGATGGTTGACCCAGTTATGAAGGCGCACTACCGCCACCTACTGAACTGGAGTGTGGACAGGAGACGAACTACCAACTTAATTCATCTAATTAACAATTCAGCTAAATTATCTCCAACAGCTATTGTTTTTAACTGCAGTTAAAAACTAAAGAAAAAGACTTCAACCGCCAACAAACAATATATTAAAAAAAAAAACTTTCCATTTTATCTTGCGCATGCGCAATACTCAAACGAATCACCTGTTTTATATGATGAGCCTCATGGAGTTGTTTCTGTCAGTGACGGTGAATGTTTGTTTACGTAAAGTAGTTAATAGTGTTTTGGAGAATTTCTTAGATAAACTTTAGCCTCCATTTATCAGGACAAAGATGGAAAAGAGGTTTCAAAAGCGGCGGTTTGGCCAATCAAATTCCACAGCAACAGGTGAGTTAATTAACCCAACCGGTGTAGAACATTAATGATTGGATAACTTCAATAGACTACAAAAACATAATGGTAATTATTTTAATTTTACAACTAAAACAATTGAAACCTACACAACAAGCCGCTATCCCCTCAGTGTTTAATTTTCTGTTATTCTTCATTAATTTACCAGCCGGACTTTTTCTCTGTAGCCATTTTTCACGTGCTGCATTTCATCAAACTTTACAGCTTTAATTAAACTGTCGAAACTTTTAGAAAACGTCCTGAAGGAATTAAGACATAATTTTATAACGCACGGTTTCATTTGGACTCCTCATTACGTTTTAATCGCTTAATTATGGATATACAGTAATTGAAGAAAATGAGCTAAAAGCATGCAGGGATTTGGCAAAAATTGTATTTAAATGCAGGTCGCAGTTTAAAGGTAAAGCTAATTTCCCTACATTATGAAAGCTGCTGACTGCTTAATAAAGTCTGGGATTTAGGTGTAATAATCAGATGTTGTGTAGTTTTTATTAGCATGACTGTAACTTGATAAACACAAAGGAATAGTGAGGCTCAGTTAAGGTTATTGTAATGTGTGTTCAGGAGTTTAATTCCTTTGTTTTGCAGGTGGTGAACCAACCATCTACTTGCATAGTGTATTTGGATTTTGATTGCTAACATAGCAATAATAAAACAAAATCTGTTTAGTATAATTGGTTCTGTGTTGTAGGCATTCTGCCTGCCTTGTAATTTGTATTTTGGATAATATCTCCTTTAATTTTGTCCAGTGTTGGTGACAAATTTACTTTCCTAAAATATATCATGGCCTCATTTGGCAGCCACACAAATTCTGTTTGAAAAGTTTGCAGCGTTTTCTCATTTTACTTTATTGCTGATGCATTAGTGTGCATAAATCAAGATCCCTCATATTTTGATGC